TAATATTTTCTTCACATTTTTATTATTGGAGTCTTTATGTTGTCGATTGAAAAATATAAATAAGCTCTTGATTTTTAAGTTTTTTTTTTATGATTTGAATCTCAACTTTTGATTTCTTCCTTTAAATTTTTCTATATTTTTTAAACAAACAGTTTTAAATATAAAAATTTTAAATGTAAGAAATCTTAAATTTTAATTTATCAATCCAAATGTCATCTTAAATTTTTTGTGTTAAATACAGAGATTTAAGTGAAAAATTTGTTGTTATATAGATTAAAAATGTAATTTTGCAATGACTTAACTGAACTTTTATCATAAAATTAATTAAATTAATAAACAAAGGTAAAACGATCCAATTAGCCCCATTTACAATTGGGTACCAAACACCTAACTTTACGTCCTTTTTTTTTGCAGTTTTTTTCCCTTTTTGTGCTCCTTTTTTTTTAAATTGCTGTAACAAAATAAATTGGATAAAAATGATACTTTTCCATGTTGATAATTTCCATTTATTTTTTTAATTCTATTCAGTGCGTACTATACAGGAAAAGCTAAACTTACAACAATTATCCTACACAATACATGATTTTACACAATTCTATTAATTAGTGGGACGAAATTCTATATTTTTAGCTCAATTCCAGGGTTTATTTTCCATTTTTTTAATGTTAATTCCTTTTAAACATGATTATTTGTCTGCTGTTTCAGCACTCCTAATTGTGGTGCTCTTGAATCTCAATTCCATGTCCATTGTTCTGGCAACAAAAAAAATGATTAAAACAGTACACTATAAAAATTAAAATTAAATGATCAAAGCATGCTCTTTGGGACTTGTCTTACTTGAGCTTCACAGTTCATGCTACTTATGAGGTAAAGGCTTAATCATAATTTAATTAACGCTCCCAATAGAGTGAAAATAATGTTTTTAAATATTTTTAATCGAATCACATACACTCCCAATAAGTTAGTTATTTATCATTAAACTGACATCATCTTTTACGTTTATCTTTATTTAGTAATGTCTCAAGATGAATAATTTATTTATTGAAGGTATTTTTTTGGGAAAAAAACTTATTATTACATACTGAATGCTAAACATCTCTTATATTTTGACCATCTAATTTCAGAAAAAATATTTTATATTTTTAAACTAAGGGATTACATTTTTAATCACAACTTAGATGTTATTATATGTGCTTTGCATGGTATTTAAGCCGAGTAGCAATGTAGAATTATTCATAACTTATATCCAATATATGTTTCTACATATTTTATAATATAAAATAGAAGAAATACTCAGGTAGATCGAGTTTATCACTTCATTTGTAATCTATCCAATTAAAATACTTCAAATAATTAAAATAAAATATTGTGTGATATTTTTTTAATTAATTTTATTCTTATAACAGGATGCATATTTAATTTCTTGCCTTTTCTCTCTCTACTATCATTAATATCAGAATTAAATTATATTTAATATCATTTAAATGTCATATTTTTATTGGACAGATCACAAATGATGTGATACGCCGGTCTAAGAATTTTTCTATAAAATAGATAGATATAGAGAATAATAGTTGTTTGAACTAAAATGAGTTAAAATATAAATAAATTATGCAGAAAAATTGCCCTTTTAAAATAAAAATTAACATGTAATAAATAAATAAATATTAATTTAATAATTCCCCGACGTTTTTATACAACTATTTATTAATATTTAGTATTCTACGGTCAGATTTATTTATTTAGTGTTTGAAGTTACTATTTGATTTGATCTAATCATTTGATTTATTGATTGATATTTGAATGGACTGAATTTGAATCATGGGCTTTGTTGGAGCAATTATATCCCTTTCACTTAATATCTGGCAAGTGTATTCATTTTTTTTAAATAAAAATACAAGCCAACCACTATTCTAATAATGCTCTCGTTCATTAAAATTAAAAACTTATTCATTACCATTTTTTATGTAAAATGACGTATGGAAAGAACTGTTAATTTTTTTTTTTTAAGAATTTGACTTATACAGGAAAGAGTATTCAGGTTACCATTAGTCTTATAAGTAATTTAAAATGTTACGTATAGAACATATAGAATCGGAATATGAGCCGCCCTTTTAAGCCATTTTTAAGTGCTCAAGACTTGAAAAATTGTAAAATTTTAGTGTAATTGGGAATTTAAACCCACCCTTTTTAAGCCTTGATAAAAAGGCCCAGGCGGCTCCTTTTTATTTCATACCTAAAACATTAAATATTTTCATTTTTAAATTAAATTTAGATTTTATAGTATATATTTTTATTTTATATTTTAAAATTAAAATTTATATTACTTATTTACAACATGGTAAACCAAGATTTAAATTCTTGCTAGAAGAAGTGTCCATATTTAATATCTGATTGTAACTTGAATAAGATTGCATTTAATTGAAAGATATTTGTAAGTAATAAAAAAGAATTTATATATTATTTTTAAATTTTGAATATTATAATTTTTTATTTTAGATAAAAAAATATACAATATTATAATGTTAAAATTTTAAAAATAAAGACTAAGTGCCCGTTTGAATTTTAATTGTGTATAATAGATTTTAAAAATAATTGATTAAATAGTAAATTTTAATCATAATTGATTATGTTATAACACAATCTGTTTGGGTATTGTTTTTCTAAAATTAATTTTAACAAAATTGAAGATGTTTGGATAATTTATTTAGAATCAATTTTAACTGTATAAATTATTATAAAGGACATTTATTTTTAAAATTAAATTATTAATAAATTTGTATATAATATTATTAAGTTGTTACATTTTATTTAAGAAGTAAAATATATTATTTAAATTACATATATAATTAATTAAAAAATTTAAATTACATTAATATTAACATTTAAATTTATGTAAATAAGTATCTCAATATATCTTAGTTGAAATAAATTTAATACAAAATATTTAATTCTTAAATATCAAATATCAATTTTACAATAACTAATGAAGATGATAATATACAAATTAATTTTTAATGACATCGTGGATATGAGTCATATTTGACGAAGAAGTTAAGCACTATCTTAAAATTTTGGCAACATAAAAAATATAACAATATAACAAATGATGTAAAATCTCTCCCTCTCTGGAACTTTGCAACAATTTTCATAATAACCCTCAATTTCAAATTAAATTAAATTAATTTTCCTCTCTCAATTAATATTAATATTTTATTTGAATTAATTTTATAATAAGTGTTATGTGGAGGATGATAGTTGACAGGAACTTATGCTAACAAATTTTTTAAAAATATAAAGTTTGAATTTTACTAAGAAAAAAAAGAAAAGAAGAGAGTTTAGTTTTTATTTTTATTAAATTCTGTGTCTTTTTTACAATTTTTTCTTGAGCCTTTTTTTGTAATTTTTTTCAATATCTTTGTAAATTTGAACGTTGAGGCTGACTCTTCCACCTTTGGCGATTTTTTTATAAAAAACTGGTGTTTGGATAATTGACACCAACAATTAAATTGGCTTTCCAAACACATTGTAAGAGAAGAGGACATATGAGTTCTAACTTTGAGCCTAATCAATAAAGATTAAACATGAAAAATAATCAATTTTAAAACACATGGGCTTTTAAACCTAAGCTCACATGGGCTAAGCCCATAAAAACTAGCCCACCCATTCACCGGCTTTTGACTTAGGTGGTTGCTATAGACTTACAAAAATATGGAAAAATTTCAATAAATACCTTTTGACCATGGTTAATAAAATAGAGAACTTTATAAACTCTGAAATTTAACTGAAGTTGAAGGGCATTGAAGTGAAATTAAAATGCTGAAAGAAATGATAAAATTAACCCTCTCCACAAGACATATTCAGATGATTCAAACACGAATTGTTCATTTTCCTACTATTTGTTATTCATTACCTTACATCAACTTGGTCATTGACCTATTGTATGTTATTTGTCTGTATTTTTAATTGATTTCATTTTAAGTATACTTGTTTAAGTTGTTCATTTACTGTCATTCATTATTCTACTTTAAGTTGTTCATTGCCTTATTGTTTATTGTTTATCTATTACTTTCAGTTTATTTCATATCAAGTATTGTCATCATGTTAATATTAATTGTGCGTTTCTCTATGGTTCATTACCTTATATTAAGTTGTTCATTACCTTATTATTTGTTGTTTGTTTATTGATTTCAGTTGATTTCATTTCAAGTGTTTTCACCATGCAAACATGAGTTGTTTGTTTTTCTACATACCGCTATTCATTATCCTATATTAAATTGTTCATTGTTTTACTATATGTTGTTTATCCATTAATTTTAGTTGATTTTATTTCAAACGTTGTCATCATACTAATATTAGTTGTTTGTTTCTATACATACTGTTTTACATTACCCTACACTAAGTTATTTATTGCCCTACTATCTGTTATTTATCCATTACAAATGTCCAAAAGCAAGGAAAAAAGTTGATTACTAATTCAAAGCAATGAACAAACAACAAACAATAGAGCAATGAACAACAGTATACAAGAAAAATAATAATTTAAAATAATGGACATACAACTATTTTTTTATCAGGGACAGCCGTGTAATTTTTCTTAGTATTTTAATTTTACTCCAGTAGTATTAAAATGTAGTGAAATTTTAGAGTTTTGTTTCTTTTTTATTAATCATGGATAAGGATTCTTTATTGAAATTTTTTTAAAGAATATTTCTCCTTGGAAAAAGAAAAAGGAATTACAAATTGTTGGAATGGGCCAAGCAAAAAAGAGTATGCAGCGGCGACAACAAATTCCGAACAGATCGAACCTATGTCATTCTGGCGCCAAACACGCAAACAGGACAATCATCATTGGCGCGTAGATCCACAACGTGACAAACAAGATCACACAATAAAAAAAAATATTAATTATTATTAATCATGAAATAAATAAATAAAGCAGCCCTCACTTCATCGTCATAATTACTATTATTTTCTTAATCATTTCCTTCTTCATTCACGTCTCTGCTTTTATTCATTCTTTGCTGAAAGTATATCATAATCATTCAAAACCACTGTTGTGTTTCTCACTCCAGATTTGCTCAGAAATTCCACTTGCGTGCCCTTATGTGATAAATCACTGCCATTTTGACCAAGTTTCGCTGTATTTTTGGCCCGATTGGTCACCACGTCGGTTGCGTCTTTTTCATTCTTGGCTCCAATATATTATCCGAACAGGTTTGGTTTCTTTGGGAAGGAAGCGATTTTTACTGGCGGCGTTGCATGAGACAGAGATTAAGGATTGTTTGTTCACAGTGCAAGCCAAAAAAGGCATAGTGTTGCAGAGACTTGTCAGAGAAAGGTCTTGTATTGTTTTTCCTCCTTCGTACTTCCTGGTTTCTTTTGGCTTATAATTTCTGGGTTCCATTTTCTTTCTGGTCTCTTTCTTTCTTTATTTTTGGTTTAATTTAGAAAGTCAATGATTTTGTTTTGCGTGTGCTGATGACAAAGCGGCTCTTGTTTCTAGTGGGATGAGAATGATTTTGTCTTCTTGTTGTGATATATTCTAAGGGTATTGCCGTTTCTACTATTTGTATCATGCAAATGTGCTGGAATTTTTCTTTATGGATTGTCCTTTTGTGATAACCATATCGTGCTTCCTTCACCTGATCACTTTACACAAGTTTCATTGCTGTCTGTTAATAATAATACGCAGTCGAAGCTGATCAAATGATTTAGTTTTTTTTTTCCCCTGTTTATCGATGTGTTCAAACTTTTTTGGCCTTTTCTTCTGGTTTTCAGATTTTCCACTGGGACGGCCCAAGTCCTAATTTCCAATCTATTAGGATCTGTAAAAGCCTTATATCGCTGGTGGGGGCTAGTTCGTATTTAATATGTAAGTAGTTTAATTGCTTAAATGATATGATCCAGTCGTCCAGTTATGGATGTTTCCCATCTTAGACTTTTCTTTCGTACCCTTTTCTCTTCCTTTGTTTCTTCAATTTACCGTTCTGTTGCTTTTTCTTACTTTTCTTTCATGGTCATTTGATACCCTGACACAAAAATCATGAAAAATCATTCCAGAAAAGCTGGAGGTGTTGGAGCTTAGGTGGCTGGAGATTCAGCATCCAAATTTAGTTAATCCCCTTGGTATAACCAAGGAGATGTAACACAGGTTGGCTCTTATTTGTTTTATTACGTTGGAATCACTAGTCTGATGGCTTGTTTACTTTATTGAATAAATAGATAAAAGGAATTGAAGTTAACTATGTTGTGGTTATCTGGATGCAGTGACCACCCTTTTCTCTTCAAATAATCTCTGTTATTTGGTGCAGGCCAATTCATTTATACTCTAGGGAGTGCTTGAGTTCCATTTTTGTGCCTCTAACTTTAATTATAACGAAAATGGAATCAAGGCACAAAACACCGAGTGTTATGGCCAAATTGATGGGTCTTGATAAAGAGCCTTCCCAGCCGCCTGTCAGAGAAAAACAAAGAGTTCTCTCTGAGAAGTACCTTCAGAAAGTTGCCTCTATTGGGTTCAGAAGGAAGCGTTTGTCTTATAAGCATAATTCCTTGGGATTGAGCATGGATGAAAAGGAAGGATGTGGAGAAGTTTTAAGAGCGTTCAAGACAATAAAAAGAGATGAGAACCATACGTTGTCAACAGAAAATAGACAGGAAATCCTTGATTTGTTTGAGCCAAGGATTGTTGGTTTGGAACAGCAGCTTTTCAAGGGCGAGACCTTGATTGAACCCATTAATGCCTTAGATATTGAAAAAAGTGTGAAGCAAGGGAGGACTTCTGGAAAAGGAAATCTGCAATTGCTTCAGGAAATTGATAGCGACCTGCAAATAAATGTGAATGGAGAAGTTGGATTGTATGAAATGTTAAGATTTTCAAAATCTCAGCTTGAATCTAAGGGCATAACTTTCACTTCAAGAATTGTTGTTTTGAAACCCAACGGCAATGATGGAATGGGAGAGAACAGTTTAAAATGCATTTCTTTACCTTCTTGTGGATATTATCCTTTGGTTAATGGGATACTAAAGGACTTCTCTAGTCATGAAAGTTCAAGATCATTTCCTGGAATGAAAAAGAGAAAGAAGTTAGCCGATCACATGGAATCTATTGACTGGAGCCCCACAGCTTTTAGCAAAGTTTCAGAGGAAGTTTCTGGTCAATCAGGAGATGCTTCAAGCAGAGTTTTAGACATGAGGTCAGGTTCACTTTTAAGAAGTAATGGAACTTGTTGCAGAAGTTCTGAAATACTTTATCCTGTTTGTAATGATGATCCAAGATCTGGGACTAAGGACATACTTAAAAAATATTGGGGTTTGAGGAAGGATGCATGCTTGAATTCTTCACTGCATGAGTCAAATAAGCAAAATACCAGCATGAAAGACTGTTCACAGCATGTGAACCATAGGCCTTGCGCTGAGAAATCCAAGTCTCTTCTTTCTTATAGTTTCAATGGTAATGGTAAAGAAGAGAGTTGTATTAGACTGCTTAAATTGAAGAAGAAACTCTCTGAGAATAACTTGTCAGAGCAGAAACCAATACCTATCCAATTGTCTACGTCTCAGGCTCAGCCTTTTTTTTCTTATGGTGACAAAGATGAAGCTAATGACAAAAGGCTTGAGCACAGTAATATTTCGAAGCTAAATATTGCATCTCATAATTCATCAATTTATGGTCAAGTGGTCGATGAAAAGACTGATGCTGATGGAAGGGCCTCCGGAAATCCAAAGAATCAACTGTCTGAAACAGCAGCGTCCATTTTGTTGGAGGACAGCGATTCTTCTAGTCACACTTCATATGCTTCAATTCAACAGGTATTCTTCTTGAATCAGAATTATTATGATAGTTTTTTTTTAAAATCAAATTTATTGTTTCTTACAATTGGATTGTTCAGTTTACAATTTAAATGTTAAAGTCAGGTACAGGGAGGACCATGGTGTTTAAATTTCTGTCAAATGTTGTTGCTGATATATATGGTTATATTGTGAAATCAAAGTAGGATTGGAATTTTCATCTTCGGAGATGGAAAGACACATGAATCATCCATGAAAATAATGTGGTATTAGATATACTGTTTTGGGGATAGTTTACATTTTATTGGATCCTCTGGGTGATGAGTAAATTGTAGAATAGTGGAATTTGTTTGAAGAATTCAGATCCTGAGAGGTACAAGTCGTAAAAGTTATATTATTCAATGAACTTCAACCTTGAGTATGGGGGTGCTTTGGATGTGTCAAAAAATTGAGTTTCATCTGGTCAATGCCGGGGACTCTCAAGGGATATTCCTGTAGTCCTATAAAGATAGAAAAACAAAAATTAGATATAAAGCACTCATTATAAAAGATAAAAATGTGCAGTGTTAATAGTGTCGAGTTTGCTGGGTGCCAATCCACGTGTAGCCCAGCAAAACTCTGAGAACAGGATTACATTTGTACAACAATACTTAGTTGTAATAATCTGGTGTAAGAGAAAGCAAATGGGGTTTGATTCTTCTCGTTTTGTTCCTTTTTTGCATTTCATTTGATATGCAGAGAATATTATTATTTGTTCTGAAGAAAATTTTGCCCTAAATCCTGGCTTAGCTAAATGTAGGTGGTAAAGTGAGTAATGGCTTCAGTTCTGATATTTGTCAGGGAGTTATTTTGCCTTCAATGTTTAGATTTTTTTCTTACTATTGTTGTTTCTGTTGTTATTATTTTAGGTGTTTTGTGTCTGATATGTTAAGCTATAATTTTCTCTCCATATTTTTTCCCTTTTTATTATGGATTCATTATGATGAAGAACATTATGTTATACTATATTCTAAGGAGCCATATAAACCAATAGTTAATGCAAAATAGGATTGTAAATTCTTAACTAGATTTAATTGTGAATTTGTTTTATTTTTATGATAAAGAAATTAATTAAGTTTCAGACTACTTCTGATCTTTTGCATTTCATCTGAATGATCTTTAATCATAAATCTCAAAATGTAGATGTGAATGTTCTCAATAAATGTACGTGGAAGAATCCTAGCTGGTGCAATGCCTTTGATTTATGATTTAACTTCCTGTTATGCGAAGTTGTCATTCTTCTCATGTAATGGCCATAAGATTTATCCATGTTAATTCTTCAATAACATTTCAAATTCTCCGTAGTCATTTTGAACTTCCTTTTATTTTTCCTCATGTGATATCAAAAACTGAAAGAAGGTTTATGCTATTGTGGAAGTCAATATTTTTGCAGATGAACAGGATCATGAATTTGTGATTACTGTTTCGTTGATGCAATTCTCTGTTCATGCATCGTTCATTGATGTCATACTGCTCAATTACACTATTTTATAATTGCAGGAAGAATCAGAATTTGAAGATGATTCTGTTTATTCGGTCTCATCAGAGGCAAAGCCAGATTATAGTTGTAGCTTTGAGGAGCCGTACAAACCTAGTCCAATCTCAGTTTTAGAGCCCCCATTTGGAGAAGACATTTCATTTGGCTCTGACTGCTTAAAGTTTGCCGGTGATGACCTATGTGGTACATAACAAGCTTTTTTTTTTTTTTTTAGCTGATGCCAAGCACGGTTAATCATTATCTAAATCACCATAAACCTGGAAAAATAAATATGTTTGGTCCCTGATAGATCGTTAGACTTTCATTTTGGTTCACCAATGTTGGAAAGAATAATTGAAATTTCTAAGGCCATGTCCTTTAGAGTTTCTACATCAATGTCCCTAGAAGCTATAATGCTATATCTTCATGTACCTATATTAGAATTATTCCTGTTTTGATTATTTAATAGGGGTCATTCATCTATTCCCTTGTATGCCTATTGATACCATGTACAAGATGATGTAATACAAGCAAGCAAATTGTAAATAAAAGTGGGTTTCATGATCTATAAAAGACTTAAGTGAAGGTCCATCTATTTGTCGGGGGCTAGAAAAGGATTTTCCTACATTTACTATTTTAACTTTTAATATTTTAGTATAATTATGAATGCATTATTGCTTTTGTAATCAGATTCGTCAGAAATGGACAATGAGGGACTAGGTTTCGATGTTTCAAGCGATGAAGATTGTGTGGACGGATCTGCAGGAGACTTGGATGAGAAGCAAGATCTTGGAGAATTTTTGAGAGCTGAAGAAAGTAGAGAGTTCTCCTACGTTGTTGAGGTCTTAACTGAGGCAGGTCTCTCTAATACAAACCTCTACACAGACTTCTGTACATGGCACTCTCCACAATGCCCTATTAGCCCTTCTGTCTTTGAAAACCTTGAAATGAAGTTTGGCAAGCAGCCATGTTGGAAGAGATCAGACAGGATGCTTCTCTTTGATCGTATTAATTTAGCACTATTGGAGATTCTCCAGCCATGCATGTGTATTCCGGCATGGGAAAAACCAGTATCGAGAAGGTTGAATGCTGAACCAAGCCATGCCGTGATGGAGGAACAGCTGTGGGAATTGCTTGCTGTGCAAGAAAAGGAAGCTAAGAGGGAGTTGGCAGATAAGATGCTTGTAGAGGGAAACAGTTGGATAGAATTACGTTATGATATTGAAGATATTGCTCGACAGATTGTTGAGTTCTTGGTAGAGGAGCTTGCAGAAGAGATAATTAGCTTCTAGATTTTTTGAAACATAGGATTTACATTTTTTTTCATGTGAGGCATTAGAATTTGCATTTGCATGCGCAAGAGTTTTTTTTTTGGTGGAAGCATACGCAAGAGTTTTATTTGCATATAGCACGATTTTGAGTGTTTTTGAATTAGGGTGTAGGTATGGTCTCCACTGTTGAGTTATTATTTTAGGGCTGTTGAGTTTTATTCATTCATGAGGTGTACATTCATTTTGTATTAGGAAAAAAAACCAAAAAAAAAAAAAGAAAGGAAAAGAAAAGAAAAGAAAGAAAGAATGGAATATGATTTTGTCTGTAATTGGCATGAACTCTGGATCTATTTCATAGTATCAAGTCATTTTGTCTGTAATTGTGTTTGTTAAGTCATGCCATGGAATATGAAAGAAAGAATGGAATATGATTTTGTCTGTAATTGGCATGAACTCTGGATCTATTTCATAGTATCTAGTCATTTTGTCTGTAATTGTGTTAGTTAAGTCATGCCATGGAATATGATTTCTTGTCCTCTTTTGTTGCCTCCCTCCACCCCCCCCCCAAAAAAAAAAAAAAAAACAAGAAGAAGAAGAAGGTAATTTCCTTTATTGTGGCTATAGTTTTTAGATTTCAAGAGAATAACTCAATCAATGGTTCTCCCTATTGAAGGGTTGAAAACCTCTTGAAGATCATCTGTTTATAATGGGAAATAGCATAAGCATTAATGTATGGAAGAACCCTTAGATTCCTCAAAGTCCAAACTTTAGAATTGTTGCAGGTGTTTCCTCATACAGCTTTGGAGAACTGCACAACTTCAGATCTGATATGTGATGGAAAATGGTCTCATCTCTTACTGAATCTTGGCTTTCTAGTTGTGAGATTCAAGCCATTAGGAATATTCCTCTTTGTGGAAAATGGGTAAGTATTCTGTCGATGAAGGATATCATGTTGCCAAATTAATTTTTAATCAATCTATTAATTAATATCAGTTCTGGTTGTTCTATTTCAGTTACTATTTTTCTTTGAAAGACTATTTTCAGGTTAAAAGTTTCTCCTAAAGTGCATCAGTTTTTATGGGAGATTTCAAAGGTTCCATCCCTATCAAAGCAAATTTCAGGTGAGATTGAAACCATTGAACATTTATTATGGTAATGGTCAAAGAAGGTTTGGTTCAGTAGTCACGTCACTTTCCAAGTGAATAATTACAATGTTTCTCGTACATGTCTCTGGCTTAATCGGGTATTATTGGGTTTGAATTTGGATCATTTTAGCTTTGCCTTGTTGGTATATATATAGAAAAGGAATATGCACAAGGAGTTAAGAAATTATGGAGCTTGACCCAATATTGACCGCAACAAATGCTAATGATGGAGTCGTCATTATTTTATTATAAGAATCTTCCCTATGGTCCTCCTTATAAGGCTCTTTGCAAGTTTAAAATTTTTCCTCCTACAATACCTTTTGGTTTGATATTCCTTAATGAGCAAAACAACCTCTCGACTGACTCATTATCTTTTTTTTTTAATAAATTTTATTGAGAGTGATTTTAAAATTTTTAAAGCATTTGCTAATTTTAACTGAATTCCTTAATATGATAAAGTTCTTAGTTATTAATAGAGAGATTCTTATAAAAAAGGTCGAGAAAGTATTTGATAATTTTGTCATTCTTTCAACAATAAACTCCACTGTTAAGGCATCAAGTGTGCTCCAGTTAGACATAAGATTAAATTCATACAGATGAGGCTTTTGTCAGTCTGATGATGAATTGCCTTGTACAGGAACCAGATTGGATTTAGTAAAAGAAACTAATTTATTATATTATGATAAATCAAGATTTAAATCTCAATTAAAAGATGTGCCCAAATTTAATGCTCAACTGAGCTTCGAATGGGATTGCTCTAATAGAAAAATGTCAACACTGTATTTTGTTTGAGTATTTTTTTAAATTAAATAAAAATAATAATAATTAATTAAAAAAATATATAAAAATATTATAAAATTTAATTCTTTTTTGGGTTATATTTTCAAAAAAAATTTTTAATTTAATTGATAGGGCTTAATTTTATTTTAGATAATTTTTTTGGTTAGGATTTTATATTTTTAGTTCATTAAAATAATCAAAAAACATAAAAATACAAAAATAAAATTTAATCTTTTTTAGGATTATATTTTAACAAAAAAAAAAGTCTTGTTTAAATTTTTAAAAAATCTCTTCGAAATTACTTAATCATCCAAAGATATTAGAAACCAACTTTTAAGAGTCAACTCATTTTAAATTTCTTTCTTTAAATTTTGTTATCTTTCAAGAAAAAGATATGCTTGTCTAATTCAAAATCAGATTTGTTTTTTAATTTTTAAAATTAATAAACATAATTAAAAAGCAAAAAAAAAGAGAATTATAGTTTTCTTAAAAAAATTAATAATACAATAATATAAACCGATGGGTTAAGTTCTTGACCCATCAGTTTCAATATTTGCTTGCCCGTTTCAGCACCGTACGTAGAAGAAGAAAATGCACAGAAAGAAAGCAAAAGGAGCAGACGGAAAAAACGCAGAGAAAGAAAGCCAGAACAGCACACATGAAACATAGCCAGAGAGAAGCAAACACAGAACAGAAGAAAAGGGAAGAGCAGAGAATGCCATAAAAAAGAAGAAGCAAGCGTGCATAGTGAACACACGAAACCAGAGTCACAGAGGCAGAGAAGAGACGGCAAAGCCATAGACGAGAGAGTTTTCGGCACACACGCAGAAATGTAGCGGAAGAGAAGGAAAAAGCAAGAAGCAGAGCAGGTGAGTAATCATTCATCCCTTCTATTCTCTATATAAGGCTAGAAAATAGAGATTGAGAGGGGGAGGCGACCGAGAGTCTGAGAGAGAGTGTTTTCTAGAAAACAGAGACTGAGAGGAAGAGGTGATCGAGAGACCGAGAGAGGAAGAAATAGAGACGGAGAGACGAGCTTTTCTTTCTAGAAAGGACTAGAGACGAGAGGCACAGAGGAAAAGAGAAGAAAACGCCAGTCACGGGACGTGAGAACAGAGCCAGAGACGCATAACGAAGAGAAGAGAGCACTGATCCAAGACAAAAAAAAAAGAGAAACGGAGAGAAAGAGGAAACCAGGAAGAGATGGAGAGACGGATTTCTTCTAAAAAAAAGAGAGATTCGAAACGGAGAGGGGACCGATATCAAGAGGAGAGAAGAGACCGCGATCAGAGGGAAAGAGTTCTGAAAAAAGGAGGCTGGAGAAACTGGCTGAAAAAAAAAGGAGACGGAGAGAAAGATCCAAGGTGTGCTCAAAGTGGAGATTGAAGTCTTTGCATATTGCTATTAGTGGCATTCAAAAACGGTAAATGTTTTGTTGATTGATTATCTACACTGTTGTGGAGATTCCGGTCATGTAGCGATATCAGGATATGCAAATCCTTTCCCCATGCTTTCCTATACGTTTTCCCAGTTTCTTGTGCTATGAGCATGAAAGTTGTCTTGATTTTGATGATAGAACTATGTTTGCTTGAATTTGATTATTCGCATATCCGGCTTTGTTTCATTGCCCTGGCGCTAATCATATAGTCACCTGCCTCCTTGTTGATTTCAAGATTGGAGTGCAAGGGGTTAATAGAGTGATAATATTATCATGGTTGAGCCGACTTGGCCATTTTGAAAAGTGTCATGCTTTGGGCCATTTGCTGATGGAGTCATTGAAATTAATCATTTATATAGCTTTTTCATATTCTTGGCACTTCTTTAAAGTAGAAAGGAAAGACTCCATATGGAAATTAGATTTGCTGCCATGAATAATTCGATTTGATTTTGGCATGATCTTATAATGTTTTTGGCGCAAAAAAAAAAAAAATAAATAAAGTGATTGTTGTTTAAAAAGAAAAGTGAAAAAGAAGGATGAAGAGATTATAAATAAAAATTTTGCTTGCTAGCCTGATATAATTATAGGCATATTCCCATTATAACTTTACCTCAAACAATGAAAAAAATTGTGTGATCATTAGGCTAGATTTCGGAATTGGATTTTAAATATATTTTTAACATGAAAGGGTATATAGATAAGTGGTGGCATGGCTTTGACCCTTATACCGACAGAGGCCTTTATTTGTTTATAATATTTCCACATTATCCTCTATCCTTCTTCATTTATTTGCGTGCTCATTATGTTACTAGAAGGGAGTTCTATTTTTAGGTATTTTGAACTTTATAATTGAAATTCAATAAAAACAAGAGAGTATATATTTGTTTGTTCCTTATTTGTCGTGGAAAATTTTAAAAATTTCTGTAGGCATTTAAAATAATTTCATATCATGTAAATCAATTAGATTTCACAAATATGAAAGCAAAACTTATATATTAATATGGACTTCAAAAGCCCATCATTAAAATTAATTTTTTTATATATAATTTAAATTAATAATTCATTTAAGTTTCACGTGAGATTTTAACAATTTTCGTAAAGACTTAAATTAATCACATCATCGTATGGGATAATAAATTCTCGCAAATGTAGTGGTTTTCAATTTTTATAATAAATAAATAATTTTTGTAAATAATTATATAATACACAATTTAAAAATTAATTAATCAAATTAATGAATTTAAGTTGTAATCACATTTACCGATTATATCTTTTAGTCATGTGAGACTTTTGAATCTCTGTAGACTTCTAAGATAATTATGTTATCGTATGAGTCAATAAGACTCTGCAGATATAACGATTAAGTTTTTAAAATATCTATATAAATTATATATTAAATTAATTAAATTAAAGATGTATTTAAATAAATTTAATTCTTTTATCGTGTGAGATTTTAGAATCTCCACATATATTTAGGATAATTATATTACCGTATAAGTCAATAAAATTTTGCAGATATGACAATTAAGAGTCTTTAAAAACATGTATATACACACTTAAAATATATTATTAACACTTAAAAATATACATAAGAATATAAATAAATAAATTAAATTGTCAAATTATTTTATCGTGTGAGATTTCGGAATCTCTGCAGATATTTAGAACAACTGCATTACCATATAAATCAATAAGGCTCTGTAGGTATAACAGTTAAAATTCTCAATCATAAGACATAAAAGAAAAATAATTTTAAACTTTTTTCTTTCTTTATTCCAAAAATTCAAAAATTAAGAAAATAATTAAAATTAAATTACTTTTTGCAATTTCAAACATACATATCAAAATTTTAAAAATTATTTTATTTGCAAAATAGTGAATTATTTCTAATTAATTTCTCTTTAAAAAATATATTTTCACTAATAGCTTTTAAGCTCAAGCTATGTAAATTTTGATCCCCATCACAGGGTACGTAGGCCTCAGAGTCAGATTTTGAGTCAAGTCTTCCTTCGTAAATAAATAAATATTTCTCACTTAATTCTTTCATTTTTATATCAAACACATGAATATGAATATAAAATGGATAATTAAAATAATTTTAAAATCATATTAATATAGCACAATAAATTTTAGGTAACCGTTTTGATGAACGGGTGTTGTGGGGTGTCTAACACCTTTCCCACACTCAATCGATTCTTGAACATACTTTTTTATTTTTGTAAACCATCTTTATCTTCCTTTAATTGGTTTTTCAAGATTTCCTTCAAAATTTTAGTGGTGACTCCTCGTTCATCCATTCCTGCCTCAAAGGCTGAAACCTTCACTCACGCACCGTCCGCGTCGCATTTTTTGGGTGTGACAAAAAATACTCACCAAAAAAGAAGAAGGAAAAATGACAAAAAAATTCTTCTGAATTATGTAAATAATAAATTAGTCCCTTGAAATGTCATAATACTAATGAAGTCTTTGGGGACCTCTTTGTTAATAACTTTTTAGAAAAAAGATCATTTTACCTTTATTGACAATTTGTGATTTCTTGCTCAATTATTGCGATTCTTTGAAGAAAAGTTAAGATTTTTTAAATAAAAGTTATGAATGTAGTTTGTTAATTTGAGAATTTATTTTTCAGTAATAGAAATTACACTTGACAAATTGTATTTTTTTGTTCAACTCTTGTGATTTACATAACAAAACTTGTTATTCTTTAAATAAAAATTGTGATTGAGGCTTGTTTTTTAATAACAGAAATTACACTTGACAAGTTGTGATTTTTTGTTCAACTCTTGTAATTTACAGAATAAAAGTTGTGATTCTTTAATTAAAAGTTATGATTGAGGCTTGTTATTTTCAGTAAGTATAAAAGGTCTTTTTCTTAAAAAAGTTATTGACAAAAAAGTCTCTTAAAACTTCATTGGTATTATTACATTTTAAGGGACCGAATTGTTATTTTTATAATTCGAAGGAATTTTATTGTTATTTTTTGAAAAAAAAAAAAGACTGATGGCCTATCATGTAGACATTGTTGGTTAGATAAAATGACTTAATGGTCAAAGGTGATGATAAGGGCAAAATTGTTATGTTTTCCAAATATTTAGGTGAGAAATGACAAAAAAATTGAGTTTAGGACATCAGACATTCATTGATTAATACTTTGAGGATAAAAATGATACTTAATCTTATTGTTTATGCCAACATGGGCATGTATAATCAAATAAAATGACTTAATGCTCAAAATAAACAACATGGGAAAAATTGATCCTTTTTAAAAGTTTAGAGAAGAAAAAACTAAAAATCAAGTTCTAGTATCTCTTGACTAATACTTTGTGTTTGAACCAAAATTAGCGTGCTCAACCAAAATAAAACAAGTTACCGAGGCTCAGATTAGCTAAGGAGTGGATGCGGCCTATTAGCAAACTATCCTTGCATGCGTAAGTGAAATGATGCATTTCGAGAGAAGGATTGACTATGTTGTGTCTACTCACTCAGATTTTTGGTGCACTCTCATTCAACATTCCACATAATGAAGCACCACTTAAAAATTTTAAGATATGAGCAGTTATCTGCTCTTGAAGGTACCAAATTTAAATTCAAAAGGAGTGCATCGTTACCATTTTTTTATAAATAGGCAACAAGCGTGTAAGTAGGATTTTTGTCGACACTTTCCTAAACTTACCCAGCTCAAACACACTACTCTTAACCTTGTAACACTTAATCTCGCCTAGCATAACATACTTTCCTTGTACAGACTCAATCCCCTTGGCTAGTTTTGCAATTGTATTTCCCCTTCTGTCTTTATAGAGCACTTGATTGTACTCAGTATATTAGTAATGATATTGAGCTTCACGCATAAGATGGCACATCACTTCACTATTCTTGCACATTATTTGATTCTTTAAGGAAATTATGACAAAAGACTTTGGGAACTTACTTAATTATTTACTTGCAACTCACATTTTTTAAGAACTTGCTTTTTTGGCATGTTTGACATACCTTAAGAGTCATGACGCTTTGACCTTTTATTAAAAATTGAGCCAATACTTTACAAAAGTGATCTTTAATCTTTTCTCTCCCTCTCTTTTTTAATTGGGTTAGATCAATCATGTAATTAGTTTTTTTTTTTTTTGTTGGGGGTCTGATTTTTGGTCCATTTAGTTGAACTCAATGTTCTCATCTTGGTTCGGTTTAGAGATCTACAACTTTTTATCTTTTTGATATATTTTGTTTTTTATTAAAAAAAAAAAGTTGAACTAAATGTTCTGATTCCATTTTCACAGCGTCAATTAGCGTTGTGAGATGCGATTCATGCCTGGCTTGTCATTGTCAATTTAACAAAATATCATAAAAATTCAACGGATACAATGTTATTTTCTATTTAAAATTGGCACTGGAGTTTGCTCCAATTTATGCCATCTAATTCAATTTAATTTTATTGCTCCTCCCATACGATACAAAGTCAATTTTATCCAAGCAAGACGAAAAAGTGGCCAACATCACGTTGCAAATATATTTTTTAATTGCAATTAATTTTAATAGGAAAAAATTGCAATAAATTTTGAAATAAAAGCAAAGAATAAAAAATTCCAGTAAATATTTACAAAAACGAAATTTTTTTTGGTAAAATAAAAAAAAACCAAAAAAAATTTGTGTTGTTGGATATTTTTATTCAAGACTGAATTTATCTGTCGTTATTACATTCTTATTATTAAAAAATTTTAAAAATGATTTTTTATTTCATAGAATATTTATTTATAAAAATGATATATTTATAAAAATAAATGAAAAAAAATATAGGAACATTCCAGTTTTCCCAATAAGGAATTGACTTTTTTCTCCTTATACTGTTATCGAAAATTGGTCCCCAAACGGCAAGTTCTAATTCTCCTTCACAGCATATATCTCTCTGTCTGAGAACGCTTGAACTAAGTTTATACCCCAACAATTTTTTCGCTCCCAAAATATCTCAGTCACTCACTATCTTCTTACCGATAATCCAAAACTTCATTTTCCTGCCATTTTTGTGTTATCCATGGCTTCCGTTACGGCTGACCTCGCAGCTTCCTTCATTGGCTTCGCTTTTCGAACCCCAAATCCAAAACCCAGTTCCTTCACCCGACTCCGAACCACCCTCTATCCTCTCCTCTGCACCTCCAAGAGAACCCATACCCAGCCCCTAACCTACTCTTCTCTCAGTATAGCGAAGCCTAGGAGATGTGCTCGCAGGTTCACGGCTGCTGCAACTTCCATGACCACGCCCCAGAGTGAGAATTCCGATGTTACCACCTTGATTCCCCCCGATAATCGTATCCCAGCTACTATCATTACTGGATTTTTGGGTTCTGGAAAGGTTTATTTGTTTTGTCCCAAATTTTTCCTGTTCTTATGCTTTCTTTCTTCTTTATTATTATTATTATTATTTTGGTGGTGTAAGCTGCTCCGATTCTTAGTTTGATTCTATGTATTTATTTTTAATATTACTGGCTTTGAGTAGAAGAGTTTTTCTAGTTTTTCTTACGATCTGAATGGATTAGGGAAATCCGCTAAAGCAAAGAGAAAAAAGAATGACATATTTCGTTTGTTGATTGCGTGAATAGATTGGATTCCTTTTTCTGGTCTAATAGTCTAAAATACATATTTGGATTTATTTCCTTATATAAGATTGAGTGGATTTTTTTTTTTGTAATTGTTGATAATGGCTTTTTGGTGGAAGCAATGTCAATACCTGACTTTTGTATTAGAGAAATGTTGCTTCCTGGAAAATTTTTATTAACGGATCATAATAATTGGTGTGCTTGAGTCGTTTGCTTTTTAGGTTTTTGCAATGCAGTATTTGAACTGATATTGATATGATTTTATGTGAAATTGACCATTTGACCAGACAACGTTACTGAACCATATTTTGACTGCGGAGCATGGGAAACGAATTGCAGTTATTGAGAATGAGGTGTGTGGTAGAATGTTCCTTATTCTTCATTTATATGGTGAATACTGAATGCATGACAGCATTAGTTTGGTGAAGTTGACATGTTGGTTTCTGCATGTAGTTTGGTGAAGTTGACATAGACGGTTCATTAGTGGCTGCAAAAACTACTGGGGCTGAAGATATTGTAATGCTAAACAATGGCTGCCTTTGCTGCACTGTAAGGGGTGATCTTGTGAGAATGATCTCAGAATTAGTCAGTAAGAAGAAAGGGAAGTTTGATCATATTGTTATAGAAACTACAGGTAAGGAAAAAAAAAATGTACGGGCCTAAGTTGCATTTGTTTGTGGCTTAGAATTGGAGCTTTTTTTTATATTTGACTACTTCTTTACCAATTATCAGGCTTTTAAAGCTATGTAGAGTTTCTTCACACCTGAATAATTCTCTAATCAATATAGATATGTTGGACCTTCTCATTACAATTGTTCTTAAAATGATTTGTTTGTATGTCCACAGGTTTGGCAAATCCAGCACCAATAATTCAAACATTTTATGCAGAGGATCAGGTTTTTAATGACGTGAAGTTGGATGGTGTTGTCACTTTGGTTGATGCTAAGCATGCCGGTTTTCATCTTGATGAGGTTAAACCTAAAGGTGTTGTAAATGAGGCTGTGGAACAGATTGCTTATGCTGATCGTATAATTGTAAATAAGGTATTATGTAGTCTTTTATAATGGAGTGGGTTAAGTTTTATGAATCAGTTAAATCTCAACATTTGAAGTCTTCCAAGAATGACCTATCAACTTTTAGTCAATTAAGCACACCAACTAATTGATATTTCTTTTTAATTTTTAATTTAGGTTCCCCTAATCTATCCTTACGTTGCAATTTAGAGTTATCTTTAAAAGTCTTCATGTTGTGTAAATTATTTATAGACATAACTTTGAAATTGATATCTCAGGCATGAATGTGAGATACAAGACTCATTAACATGTTATATTGGATTTTGATGCCTTAACATGTTAACCACTGTTGATCATGTACCTTGTTTTATTTATCTTGGATTTGACACCTTAACATGTTAACCACTATTATTTGTCAATTATAAGAATTCTTTTTTGTTTGTGGTGTGTTGTTTGTATAGGTTATGTACTTTTGGAATGTGCTATTGTTCTTTGGAAAGCAGCATTTTCTTTATGCCTGAGATAAAATAGGCTAATATTTCTGTAATTGTCTGCATTGCACCAGACTGATCTTGTGGGTGAATCAGATATTGCTTCCTTGGTCCAGCGGATAAGGGTTGGTGTCTTTCTCCTTGGATTATATCTAACTTTTTTGAATCTGACATTGCTTTCATTTCACTATTTTAAACACATTGTGAATGTTAATGTTTTGCCCATTGTATCAGACCATAAATAGCTTGGCTTTTTTGAAGCCTACAGAGTTTGGGAAAGTTGACTTGGATTATGTCCTTGGCATTGGGGGCTTTGATTTGGAGAGGTAGCTTCTTTTATTCATTTTTTAAGTACTGGGTTTGCATTGTCTATAAGATGATGGGAACTTTAGGTTCACTCATTTATATATTGAGTGTCACGGGACTCCTGCCTGCATTTGCACTTTCATCTTTTTTATCATGCGGTCCACTTTCATCTTTTGAGGGTCACAAGACGCCTGCTTGCACTTACACTTTCATTTTTTTTAGTCATGCTGTCCACTTCTCCATACTAAAACTATTTGTCTTTTTTAGTTGGCCTTTGATGGTTGCATCTTCATGTATGATTCTCTGCTGTATGCATGTCTGTGATTTTTGGTGTTGATTTTAGTTCTGAATGCCCACAGTGCTATCAAGTGTCCATACCTCTGCATTGTCTTGCTTCAATGCCATGTGATTCTAAATCTTAGAGGATGTTTGGATATTTTTGTTTTATCTTTTTTAATCTTTCTAACTCAGCCATTTAAGCCTTGTTAAGTTGGAAGCTTGTGTTTGCATGACGATAAAACTTTGATGCAATTTTTACATCTTTGCTATTGGTTTTCTTAAAATAAAAGCAAGATAAGTTTAGGATTTTATAGATGCATGTATGGGCTTACGTATCACCATCTCTTTATTTGGTCTTTCAAAGAAATTTCACATGTTATATTTTATTGGAGAACTTATAAGGAAGGATAAGAGGAACTTTACCCTGGCCTAGTCCTTTACTTTATTTTACTTTAATTTCCAGGATTGAGAGTGCTGTCGATGCTGAAGGCTCAAAGAAAGATCACCACCACAGCCATGACCATGATCACCAACATGACCATGACCATAAGCATGGTATCTGTTAATTTGTAATCTGAACCAATACTTGTTACCTGACATGCCATTCTTGTTTAGGTGCATTCCCTGAGTGCTACACATATAATATTAGTCTTACTTAAGGAGTACAACGTATCCAATCCACGTACTTGATTTGGTTCTGTAGGTGTGAATTATAATTTGCTATATTTTATAAGGGTGCTGGTAATTTAAATTTCTCTGTTCAATGTTTGACAATTTATAATGGGGCACTTTATAGAAGTTTTTCTTTTCTGTGTAGTGTTATGAAGTAAAAGAGCAATCCATTTTTATGTATGTGCAGAACACCATGATGGGCACCACTCTCATGATCACACCCATGATCCTGGTGTTACATCAGTGAGCATTGTTTGTGAGGGAAGTTTAGACCTTGAGAAGGTTTGTACTAGCAGTTTGAAACTTATGGAGTATGTTGAGTGAATTTTTATTTTTCTTCTTTCTGTATCTTTTTTTAATCTCTCTCTCTCTCTCATGCCTGTGACATGCCATGTATTCTAGATTTTTATGTGTAAATTGAATGATTGGCAGTTTATACTAATATTATAACTTTTATTTTTCAGGCTAATGTGTGGCTTGGCACGTTGTTGTTGGAGCGAAGTGAAGACATCTATAGGATGAAGGGCCTTCTATCTGTTCAAGGAATGGACGAGAGATTTGTCTTTCAGGTACCTTTTTGTTCCCTTACCATGAAGAGATTCCTAGAGTTTAACTTCCTGTTGACTTATAATTGGATGCTATATTTTGTGTGGTAGTAGTTGATGATGATAAAGATGGTGCTTCCATTGAACTTTCTGATTCTGCATGCATAACATATTATGTTGGCAAATTTGGCATTCCTCGGAGTGAGACATTAATTTCATTATTTCTATTTTCTAAAATCAAATAATATAACTAACTGCCTGGTAAAAACCTTTTCATTTAGCTCTTTATTGATGTGATGTACTGGACATGTTTGAATTTCATGCTTTTAGTGTATTTGTAAGATCCACTATGTCTATGTTCTAGTTCCCCAATTTTGCTTGGGACCATGTTTGGGATTTGGGATGAACGGGAAGAAAAGTATTTGATGGAAATAGAAAAGCGAAAGAAGCCAAATGCATGGTTGAATGAAGATTTCTCCCCCCCCCTTTTTTTGGGGAAAAAAACTCCCCAAATTTTTCTTGTATATTGCGTGGATGAATGTGTCATGCTATTTATAGTTTGTAAACAGTGCCATTTGCTTAGATTTTCTATTTTTAAGAGGGAGAATGACAAATGAGGACCTTGTAAGAATATTAATGTCAAATTAGGATTTTTCAACATGACGTTCTTAAATTTCAGTACTTCTTCTACCATATTTCAATAGTAAAGTTTCTAATTCGGCATTAATGTGCTTACAAAGTCCTTACTTATCATTCTCCCTTTTTAATACTTGATTTAAAGGAAGAAAGTCTTCTAAGAGTGTTGGCAAACTAGTAGAAATCCTCATGGAGACTTAAGTAGTATGAGATATCAGTTCCCACATTGAGTAGTATGAGCTGCTTAATGTGGTATTTAAGTGGATTTGTTCTCCTATCTCAATAGCTTGCTTTTGGGGTAAGGTTTCCCATCCCACTTAAGTACCCATCAAATCTTTTCCTTTTTATTAATGACCCCCTAAAGAAGAGCAAGGTTTAAACCTGCCTTCATATTGTCTTTAGTTGCATCATGGATGTGATGGATGCAATGAGAACGCTAAAGTCCTGGTTTGATTGCACCTTTGGAGAAAAACTCTCTTTAATTTATTACACACAAGCAAAATATATAATGTTGGGAGGGGTCTACCTTTTACTTCCGTACCCTGAGGGAGATTACTCTGTCTATAACACAATAAAGGACATTTTCTAGAAGTTTTGCTTGGTTCAAAATATAGGTCATTGGGTAACTTCTATAATTATTTTTTCAACTATAACTTTACTTCATTTATTACGTTTTTTTGAAAAATTGATGCATTGGAATTTAAATTATCATTGTCAAAACACTTATATAGGGTATTTAATGAGGTAAAATTGGTAAGATGTTTTTTTTTTTTGGAGTAATTAAAGTTTTAACTAATATTTTTTGAGAACTGTGAATTAGTTATCAATGCCTTATATTTTGGTCTGGAGGGAGTAGTCCTTGCCACTAGTAAAGGATGCTGTTGGTCTTATCAATGTATATATATGTTAAATGTTTCAGACTCTTGTTATCATTACCCATTATTGACCATAATCTTTTTATTACTTTTGCTCAGAAACTTGAGATCTTTTCATTCATAAAATCACTCTCTTTTTCTCCCCTCCCCCATTATATTTTCCTGTTCATTTCATTTTATTTTGCATACCAAGTGGCTACTCCACACACACACACCAGATATGTTATGACATTTATTATGATGGTTTTTCTGAATTAGTCTTTTTCTTGTTCTGTCGCAGGGAGTACATGACATATTTCAAGGTTCGCCGGATCGGCTGTGGGGGCCGGAAGAACCTAGGGTTAACAAAATCGTATTCATAGGGAAAAACTTGAATGCTCAGGAATTGGAAAAGGGGTTCAAAGCCTGCTTGCTGTGATGCTAACAAGTTGATTCTAACGTCAGAATTCATCCTTTGCTCCGGCTGATTGTGTTTTGGGCATATAATATGTGAGTCTCTGCATCATATACCATTACCATGTCCAACTCCCGACTGATTTTTGATTATTATACAAATATATATTGAAAGCAACACAGAAGTCAATTTATAAGGAAGCTTCTGTCTTTTCTGGGTTCTCATTTCGTCTCATAACTCTTTTATTGCATCCATTTCACTGATTGTTGCTGGTTTCAATTGGCTCTAAAAAATGCTTTCCGTCCTAGAAGATAGGTTTTTTTTTTTTTTTTTTGGAAGATTGAGATGCTTTGCTACCATATATTTTGATTGAATAAGAAAATGATGAAAAAAGAAATGTATGTGGAATTAATTTTTTCTAACATATATATATATATATATATATAACATATTTACTAATTAAATATGCTTAGATATAGGTTATAAACTTATAATATTCCTTTTTCTACACAATTATTTGGTACTGGATATTGTTAGAATGTTTATATTCTATATACAATATGGAATTTACAAGAAGTTGTGCTATGTGTAGGAGTAATGTCGATTCAAATTTCCCAAAGTATTGGGGAAAAATAGGTTTTGCATAGGTATCAAAACACAAGCCATGTACCCAGCATGTTGTATACTAAGGCATTTCACTTGTCTAGGTCTAATTCTGAAGTTCCAGAACTAACACTCATGTATTTAGGGGGAAAATGAAGCAAAAATTCATGATTACAACTAGAATTTTAATTTTATCAACTCAACTTTTCTATTGCTGTGTCTAATTTGTATCTGTTTTTTTTTTTTTTTTGGTTATTGCCACTTATCCTAACTAGTTTTTTCATTGGCCAAAATTTAAAAAAAAAAAATTTACGCAAGTGGCATCCCCCATTGGAGGAATCATGTTTCATACTCATCATCAATCATCAATCTAAACCCTGCAAGTCGATTTTAGATGGTCTCAAGATTTTATTTTTGTATTTTAAACAAATTCTTATTTTAACATGTGCATGTGTTGAAGGTTAAAAAGTTTATAACTGCTATTTTTTTTAAAAAAATTATCATTTAAAAATCACACGTTTAAAATTTTAAATTTCAACTACCTAAAGTCCTGAACTGAATTTAGATAATTCAGATTTCATGTAGTGCTTTGGCAGGGTAAAAAAAAAAACGATTTTTATTACAATGATGGCACGCAATCCTACTGTAGTTAACGAGCATCCATGAAGGCTCTTTTTCTCTCTCTATTTTTTTTTAATAGACATGGCATCAATTAAATGTGTGTTTAATTTTTAATTTGTTAAAAATTTATTTAATAAAAATTAATTTAGTGAAAGTTAATTATTATAATAAAATTTATATTTAAATATATTTTTTAAAAAATCAGTTTAATAAATTAAAAGTTATTTGAATTAACGATGTTTTGTGATTTTGAATATATAATGATAAAAAAGGATATTAATTTAAATAATTGGTAATTCTTATTATACAAATATAATATATTAAAATGTTTAAAAAATGTGAAAAAATTTAAAATAATATAAAATTTAAGATGTTAAATAATAAGAATAAAAAATATATAGTTTAATATTGAAAAAAATTATGTAATAAATAGTTCAATATTCATTAATATTAAATAGTTACATGATTAATTGTTCAATTTATGATGTATAACATTATTTTTAATAGAACTGCGAACCTTATTTATTTTTTTATCAGAAACTATACTTAAAATTGCACTTGAAATTAATGATAGAAATGTATGCTTTATTATCGTTGTGGGTGTAAATCATATTTTCATCTTGAAAATGCTTAAAATCAAAATCAATTAGAGATTTTTTTTTAATAAAATTATGTATAATTATTGTTGCACTAACTATGCAAACTTGTACCACAAATGAGTAACTAGGCGCATGTGGTAAGATTGTGAATTTATTTTTTCAAACTCTAGAAGTCCTTTCAATCATGATATTTAAACTTGAATGATAATAATTAAAAACTTTATTATTGTATGCAAATTCAGATGAATGCTTGAAATTTGAGAGGTGATGCTTATGAGATTTATAAAGATTTAAATATTCACGTGACGTTGGATAGCTAGCATTCATCAAATAATATTTACCTATCAATAAAAAATATAAATTGTTGGAATTAATTAAATATTTAAATAACTTATTTTAAATTAGATAAATATAAATAGAATCGAAAAATCCACATTTCAAATCCACCAAAAAATAGCATTGGCAAATTCAGATTTCAGTTCCCTTTCAACCCACATTTACAAAGTAATTGTACTCACTTAAAAATTATCCAAATAATATTTGACATCTCAAAAGTTAAAAAGTGAATTTCAAATGTTTGATCTTAATTATCCAAACGCACCCTATAAGACGGTGCAATTATTCACTAATTATGAGGAATCCGATCATAAAAAACTTCTACAGCCATTGGTAGGAAAATTGAAAATTCTAATATCAAAATCATCATCTGTCGCTTGATGAACAAATTGATCAATGAAAACTTGCCAATTCCACATATGTATGAAAAGAACCCTTTTTGTAAATGATTCAAGTTGGCTTGAAAACTCTTCATCACCAACACCAAAACATATTGAAGTAAAGAACAAAAAACAAATTAAAAACTTGACCTAATGATTTGTACTAAGTTTCTTGAGCCTCCATGCATTTAACTTTTCATAATGCGTTCTCTCTCTGACCTACTGAGAATTTGTACTTGCTAGTGGACTATTCATTTATCATATATCTTGACCTTGAAATATATATTTATGGGATTTACTTTGGTGGGTTTTTTTAATTGACACTTGTATTCTTTTGATCGCAAAGTTGGAAGTTCTTGTATGACAAATATAAATATTTTGAGTAGATTAATTAAGATTTATATTTTTAGTTGTTTCTAATTAGGCTTGCTTTGAACATTACGATCAATGATGCTGAAAAGAAGATAATGAAGGGGAAAATAGAGATTAATTAGTTGGATGTCAATAGAAATAAATTAGTAATTATTATGTCAAAAATAGTTTGATATATAAAATAAAAAATAACCTTCAAATCTTCATTTTTATAAAATAGAAAGAGATATTGTTGAGCAGTTATAAGAGCATGATAAATATTAGTCATGATGATTAAAGAGGCGAGTAATGATGATTTTGGGATTAATTAGATGGTTAAAAAGATTAACATTCTTTTTTATCTTAAATAAAAAAATAATATGACTGATTTTTAAATTTTATGCAATGCACAATGAAACATGTTTGATTTTTAGATACAATAATGGATGGTCAAAAATAAAATAATCTTAACGATGAAATAAAAAAATAACAATTGGATTAATTGGACGGTCAAAGAGGTTAGAATGTAATGCAAACTGGGTTGCGATTAAGATTGAGCGATTTGTTTCTGCCCATACTTTATCGTACCTGACAATTGAATACTAATCAAAATGAGTTCAAGTTTTGGGAAACACGGTTGTTAGGACAAAAAAATTAAGAAAATTTTAAAGTATGTGAATACCGTCCAATTTAAAAAATTTAAATAAAATAATTTTCAAATACCACTATTTTTTTTATTTTATCATGCGGTATCTTGAAAAAATCCCATCTTAATTAATTTAAACCTTATTATGTATGACCGTTATTACTAATGATAATTTCATGATTATCTTAAGAATGTTTTTAACTTATTTATTTATTTATTACGACTGTATATCACAAGACACATTGCTTTAAGAAAAATATTTATTTTGGGTGTTAAAGATAAATTAAAGTGTATGATAGATTTTTTATTTAGAAAGGATATAATTTTAAAGGGAAAATAGCAATGGAGGGTTGCTAAAGAAAATTTATATTAATTAGGAATTAATTGTTGTCAAAATTTAAATGGACTGTTTTTAATTTAGAATGAATTGTTATTAAAACTTAAATAAATAATTATTGATAAAAGACTAATTTAAATTAATAAGTATCTATTTTAATTTTAACAACAAGTGATTTTTAACTAGTTTAAATTTTCTCCGGCAGTTCTTAATTGATATTTTCCCACTTTAGGATGTATATATTAATTTAGAAAACATAAATTAGTCACGAAACAATTTGTTTAATTTGGTTAACTTGCAAACAGCTTTAAAGTTAAAAAATGGGTTAACAATGATAGTTATGGTTAATAATGGTAGCCTACAATAACGGTAGCTTCCAACAGCCAAATGTTACTTTAAAAAATAAGAAAGGAATTGAATGAAAAAAATAAAAAGAAAACAGACGTTGTTTTAAGATGTTTTTATTTTTATTTTTAAAAATAAAAGTAGAACAATTTTAAAAGCATTTAAATACAAAACATTTACTCAAATGAGTTTTTTATTTTATTATTTTTAAAAACAGAAAATGATTTTCAAAACAGGAATTTAGGTGGCTTAATGGCTTTTAATATATTTTATTTCTTATAAAAATACATTCTATTTAAAAATTTTTCTTATCGTCGCCTTTTTCATATTTCTTAAATTAATATAGAAGGCAAATGGATTTGTATACTTATACATTGATAGTTAATTTGTTTTAGCATATTTTATGAAAATCTTACTTTTTTTTAAATCTATTTTGTAAGTTTTCATTATGTTTGTTTAAATTTTTTAAAATAATCAGAATTTGAAAAAAATTGATTATTTTAAGAAACTACTTTAAGCCATTTATGAAAATAATCTAATGTGATAGATGAGAGAGAGTGTTTTAAAGAAGTTAGATATGCAAATATATCATAAAATTTTAAAATAATATAATAATAAATTATTTTTATAAAACAAATATTAAATAATATATCATAAAATTTTAAAATAACTAACTAATAATCACTTTGTTATTATTGTAATCAAATATAAAATAATGTCTGCTTATTATAAATGCTTATATTTTTAAAAAGGGAGTATAAAATAAATCTCTTTTTATAAAATGTTTAAACTATATAAAAAATTACTTATTTTTTAATCCTAAGAAGACGAGCCCTAAATTGGGCTCTATAGTTCCATAAATTTTAGTGAATAAATTATATTATTTATAACTTATAAATAATATAATTTTTTATATATTTTATACGTTTTTTTTTGTTAGTATAAATTATCTTCTTCAACGTGCAGGATCCAATTTAGTTGAGCCTAAAAGGAATTAGCACATTCACTAAAAAAAAGGGAGCAGTACAAGTGCGGGTGAAAAATATGAAAAATACAATACAATATTATATGAAAAATATGAAATTTTTTAATTGCAAAATATAAATATGAAAATATGTTTTATAAATAAAAATTTGGAAAGTGGTAAACAATATAAAAATAAATTCAGTTCAAAACAGACATTTGAAATATATATAAATAAAATGTCAAAAACAAATTAAAACAAAAATGTATACATAAGAAAACTTAAAATTGTAGATTTGCAATTTAATTTAAAACGTCAATTTTCATTTCTATTTATATTTATGTTACCAAAATATATCTTATAAGGCCTTAAGTAGTTTCATCTTCTTAGGAAATATACAAATGAGTTTTAAGATATCTTAAAATGTATAAAAACAATATTGGACATAAATATCGAAAGAGGAGTAACATATGGGGTCATTTGTTTAAGATTTTTCACAAAAAATATTTATTTTGAAAAAAAATCCTATTTTGTAAAATTTTATAGTATTTATTTAAACTTTTAAAAATAATCAAAATAAAAAGTTATAATTCTGATTATTTTGAGAACATATTCAGTAATTTTTTAAAATAACCCAATTATTTGAGAACAAAGAATGTCATCAAAATCATAACAATTTTTATTATTTTAATCAAGCATAAAACAATTGTAACCCTTGATAAAATATCTATAAAATAAAATTATTTTTTATAAAATCTATAAATTATATAAAAATAACTCATTTTTTAATTGTAAACAAATAGGCTTTGTTAAGCAAAATAGAAGTCCAAAATAATCCAACTCATAGATCACTTGGGAAGAAAATCCAAGTGAGAAAGTGTTAATTTGATTGTGTGTGTGGTCAACATCAATTGATGTGCGTAAAACTGCAAAAGCTTTATTAGTTCATCTTATTATTAATGTCCTTAATTACATAATTTAATTGCATTGTGTAGTGACTTAGGTCTCTCTAAAAATCAATTTAATGATAGTTAGGTCCTACTAATAAATTTTGTTAAAAAGTAAGTTATAAATATTAAAACATTTAAAAATATAAGAATTTAAGTTGCAAATCATTAAGAAAACCTATAAAAATTGAAATTTTTATATTTACAATTATTTTTAATAAAATTTACAATTTAACTTTTAACAAAATTTTGTGGAGACTTAATTGTTATTAAAATGTTGTTATATATAATTAAACACCTTTCCTAATAAGATTTGAACTTTAATTTATTATATTGTGAGACATTAGTCCATTTTATTAATCCTAAGCCCACTGGTATTAAATTAATCTTTGAAAATCTGAGTGTTACACTGCGCTTTGTATTCACTTAACAGAGTATTAATTAATGTCCAGCTAATTTCACCCATGCGTTGCACAAAGCCTTGTTTTATTTTGAATTATGTCACAATTAATGTTTATTCTAATTTAAAGCTTATCCAGTTATCCGCTAGGAAATACCCAATTATTTAAAATTTAAAATTAATAAAATATCAACATTTTACAGGTTGCATATTATTGTGAGATTTGATATTTTTTAAAGTATTTTTTTTAATGTTTTTGCAGGCACAAAAAGTCAATTTTTTTGTTACCTCTCAAACAGAACATTTGAACGAAACGACGATGACTGAACTTGATTTGTACCCAGCATATTAATTTTATTTGAGTTTCAAAAATTAGTGAATTTTTAAATTAATACTAAAAAAAGAAAAATCATACATTATTTAATATTTTTTCCTTTAATTTAGTATGAGTTTATTATTTTGAGAAGCATATTATTTTATTATTTTTTAAAATCTAAATATAAAATAATTTAGTGACAAAAATATTCATTTAAAAGAAAATGATGACGATGCGGTTATTTTTTGGCATTGATACTTTTGTCTACCCACAAATGTTGATTGGATTGATAAAGAAACAACTTATAAGATGTAAATCAATGTGATGAATTTAAATCATGTTATCGACATACATATTTTGTTAGCAAATAATTTGCAGATATTTTTATAAGCATTCTTTAGTTTTGAAAGTATATTTTGACTCTGATGAGTTCAAAATTTAATTCATCTAAAGTTAATCTTATTTTTTTAAAAAAAAAAAATCTCCTGTCTTAAGGTTTTGGAAACAATACAATTGGCGTCCAATCAAAGTTGCTGTCCATAAAGTACCTAATACTAAAAATTGAATATTATTATATGTATGCTAGACCATTATATTTAGAATAAATTGTATTGTTTCTCAAGCCATAAATAAAATAATTATAATATGAATTTCATATGACTTTAAATTTTCATTTGTTCTAATATATATTATAAATTATATTTTATCATAAAAAATAATATATATTCCTATATTTATATACAGAAAATTTTTAAGCCCCCATTGATCAGTTTTTTTTTTTTGGGAGTCGATGAAGAATCCTAAATAACATTTAGCGGGGAAGTTAAAATAAAAAGTACATTTAATTTATTTATACACAAGATAAGATTGATTTGTTAAGTAATTAATATTAAATAAAAATAGAAGTAGTACTTAACCAACAACTAAATACATCACCACCAACAGAATACCTAAAATTTTCCATTAATAAATAGCTCATGCCAAGATCCAAATCCACGAACAAATTATCCGGACATCATTATCTTTATCTCTGTCCTTTTTGTCCATTTATTTTTGCCAACATTTAAAAAAATTAGGTTTTTGAACAAAAATATATTTTATACAATTCTCAATTACTCACAACGAAAATAACAGATTTTTTATTTATAAAATTCCCACGCGATCCACGACCGCAGCCAACTTGACTCGGATAGGATAGTATAATTTTTTTTTTGGGTCAAAAAATAGGATAATATAATTTTTTTTGGGGGACAAAATCAGGGGAAAAAAAATTAAAAATTTACACACACACAGACTTTTGGAACTTCAACACGTTGACTTTTTTTAAAAAAAAATTGTTTAAAATAATTGAAATCAAAATTTAATAATTTGATTTGAAAGATGAAATCAACATCATATAAGATTGAAAATAAATGCAAGGATAATGGAGAATAGTATTCTTGAGATAAAAACGGGATGAGAATTAATGATAAATTTTATCCGGAAATTAACAATCTAAAACGCTGTATGGATGGGAACGTTTAGAAAATAGACATATTAGTTTTCCACGTCACAAAGACTATATATATGTATATATGTATGTATCTCCTCGGCTTCCTAAATCTCATGCACTGATCATCGATATCTTTGAACCTAATCGTCAATCTCTCTTTTCTCTCTCAAAGAACAATCAACAACATCATCATCCTTCCTCACTGCTTCATCATGGTCTCTCTCTCTCTCTCTCTCTCTGTGAATTTCTGTATCTTTTTCAGATGATTCATTTTGCAACTTAGCTTTCTGGGTTGATTTGCAGGAAAGTAATAAAACAGATATCAGATACGAAGAGGTATGTTTTTCTATCAGCTTTTACGTTATTCAGATTATTCATACAACGTAACTTTGGTTCCTATCATATGGCGAAAGGAGGGGGCTGATGAGGGCCATAACCTCCAAAGTTTTTGGTGTGTTTGATTGCTTGAGAAACAAATCTGTTTAAAAATATGTTTTGAATTCTTTTTCGTGAGACAAGAGAAAAAAAAAATTGGGTTGAAGTAGTTCTGAAAAAGACATATCTAACCATCTCTGTAATGTTTTGTTACTTATCGATCGTTGTGCAAAACTAGAGAAAAAACAATTATGTTAATAAAAATAAATATTTATTTCACCACTTTCAATTATGTTTTTTAGAACAATGATTTAGACAGATTTTTTTTTCCTTTTTTTTTATTTCCAAAACTGACCTAAGACTTGTTCTTGTTGTTAGTTGTTTTATTTCCAAAACCTGCTGTGTAATTTGTTACGAACATAAAAATAGAAAAACAGAATCAAACAATCCCTTTTTTTTTTCCTTTCCAACATACATGTGATATCAATTTATTATAGTATATATGATTTATAATCTGGAGGCGTAGATTAAATTAAACTAAAGAGAGAAATGGTGTGGGATATATATCAGGAGTTTATAATGAATTCAAGAGGAATGAAGCTGTTGACAACGAGATGGGTTCCAATGGAAAGAGAAGCAAAAGGGCTCATTTTTATATGCCATGGTTACGCCATGGAATGCAGCATCACCATGAGCAGTACGGGTCTCTATATATCATTAATTAATTAATCCCACTCATTTTATGATTAATTATGTTAATAATTATGATTAATTAGGCACCGCGAGGAGGCTAGCAAGGGCAGGATATGGAGTGTATGGAATAGATTATGAAGGCCACGGCAAATCCGACGGACTCTCTGCTCTTGTCACCGACTTTGATGCTCTCGTCAATGATTGCTCTCACTATTTCTCCTCCATTTCTGGTATCCTCTCTCTCTCTACACTTATCCTGGGTAGGATTAGTTATTGAATCGATCAATGCACTGTTTCAATGATTAATAGTTAAAATCATAATAAAAATAAATCAAGTTAGTCATGAGTAAAGTATTTCATCAAACGAGTCAAGACAATTTATCGATTTAGTTAGATAGATTGACTCAAATTTTTATTATACTGTGATTATTAAAAAAATTTACATCGAATAGAGTTGGGTTGGAATGGCTCATAGAATCTTTGGTTTTGAAAGTGGGTTATGACGATGTAGTAATGTCTAGACGGCTCACACGCAAATAAAGTTAAATTAGAACAACTCATAAAGTCTTATGCTTTTAGATTTTGAATTTTGGACCCAATTCCTCATTTTAGGATGCTTCCCACTAATTTTTAGAAGATTTAGTTTGGGATGATCAACAAGTCCATGAAATAGACCATTGAAAACCCTTCAATTAATTATATATAGAATTTGGACCCAAAAAATGGCATATAAATGATCATTTGGAAATATTCCAAGGTTTGACTTTTCTTCTGGTTCTGAATTTTCCTTCCAGGCAATATCAAAATCAAAATATCTTGAAAACCATTCCCTGCCGTGTATTGTGTATTATCTCCATATACATCATTTAATTATATTATTCTCATTTATTTATTTGACATATCCATTCAAATTTGACGTCTAAGTTTACCAATGAAGATAGAGTTTAATAGAAGGGGTTAATCCTTTACAATGTGATAAATTAATATTTCAATTCTCATTAAGAGAAATGCCCGTATTTAGTACTCAATAGTGCCTTGAATATGATTACTTTCAATAAGAGAATATTTGTAAATGACCCAAAAAAAAATTTGACACCCAAGTTAAGAATGAAAAACTATGTTTATTTTAAATTAATAACATTTATATGCAAAAAAAAATTCAGAAAAGGAAGAGAACAAGAAGAAGATGAGATTTCTGTTGGGAGAATCCATGGGAGGAGCTGTGGCTCTGTTGCTTCACAGAAAAATGCCTCACTTTTGGGATGGAGCTATTTTGGTTGCCCCTATGTGTAAGGTTAGTTTCCTCTATTTCTTTCTTTTTTTAAAAAAATATTAATATAATTATTTGGTATATAATATTATTGAACCTAATTTTAAGGATAATTCTCTTAAGAGTAGAGTCCCTTTCAATCAACCGAGGATCATTGCTTTGTGAGTGTGTGTATTGATGTGAAAATATATTAACTAATGATGATATATATTAAAAAAGGAAAAATTATAGATAAGTCTCAAGTAAAAAAATTAATTACTAAAATATTCCTTCAAAAACTTGTTCTAAAAATATACATGTTGTAAATTTTTCAGTTTAACTCACAAATATTGGAGGCCTCCTCTAATGCGTCCAATATTTTATAAGTCAAACTAATAAATTCATGATTCATATGTTTTTTTTCTTAGCAAAAGTTTTTTTCAAGCAACTTATTATAGTAATAAATCAATTTTAGAAAACCTATTAAAAATTAACTTTTTTTATATAGGATTTGTCATTATATTTATCCTAAAAAAATAGGAAGGATGTTATTTGGATCATATTAATTTTAAAAGGGTCAAATATTCAAGTAACCGAGTTGCCAATAATTTTTTTTTTTACAAGAGGCTCAAATGACATTTTCCAAAGAAATAATATAAAATAAAAACCCTGGATCTTTTTATTTTTTAATCTTATCTTTTTGTTATGCGTCTTTTTCTGTTTGGCTTTCTCTTCTTTTTCCTGTTTTTTTGGTAGCTTTGACTTTTCTTATATGCCAGTCATGTTTGGTTGATTGTGCTACAGATAAAAACTCTCATTCGCCCCTTTTGTTTTACTCTTAAATGATTTTGGGTCGTACGAGCACATAATTTAAGTTGGGGAGAATAAAAGTTTGACTTCAAAACTCTAAATTAATAATATTTAAATTTTTAATAAATTTTTAAAAAAATTAGTTAAAAATATCAATTCAGATAATTATAAATTTAAAAATTTCAATTACAACTAAGTATTTTAATATCAAATATAACTCTTAAATTATAATAGAAATTTTTATTTGTAACTATTTGATTTGATATTTAAAATTAATTTTGTACAAAAATTTTGTTTGAGACTTATTTATCATTAATTTAATATTTTAAGACTTAATTGTCATTCTCTCTTTTAAGTTGTAAACAAAACTCTAATTTTAGCACTGATAAATGTGTGACACATATAAGAAAAGGTTGCTACACAGGACACACATATATATTGATCAGAAATTAAGAGATCATTTTATTATATATATTTAAAATGTAAAGGAGTTAATTACACATGAAATAAAATAAATTAATCAATGGTTGAGAGTCATTGCATAAGTTTAAAAAATTGGGATGTATATTGCCAAGTTGAGGAGAATTCTGTTTGATGCCGTAGCCTTAGGAATTTGATTTTTTTTAATTATTGAATATTCCAAAGATTTATATAAAAAATATTTTTGTTGTTGTTATACACATAAATGTTAAATTAATTCAACTATATGATATAACTAAGAACATCTTTTGAGGAACGTCTAGTTTATTTCATCTCTAAATTAATAACTATGTAGTAATCTATGTATCATCATTTTATATGTAATTTTTGAAAAAATTATTCATTTAGCCTCTATATTTTGGACCTAGTTGTAATTTAATCTTTAAAATTTTGACTTAATTGTAATTCAATTTTTAAAATTTGCCTCTTGCAATTAGTCCTTATAGTTTCAACCATTTAGATATTAATCCTTATATTTTTTAAAAATAAAATTATAAAAATTAAAAATATTTTAAACTTTATATTTATAATATTTATAAAGATTAAAAAGGATCAACATAATTTTAATATTTATAATTTTATTTTTTAAGATATAGAGATTAATATTTAAGTGGTTGAAATTATAAAAATTAAATTATAAAAAATAAAATTTAGGGACTGAGTTATTAATTGAGTTAAAATTTTAGAGATTAAGTTATAGTGAGTTAAATTTTAGGGATTGAATTATAATTAGATTCAAAATAAGGAATCGAATGATTAATTTTTCCTTAATTTTTTGACCAGATGATTTTTTATTTAATTTTTTTGACCAGATCATTCTATATTTAATTACAATCAAGAATTTAAGATATGCTTATTAATGTATAACTAAAACCGACTTCCAAGTGTGTGCATTAAATTAAAAATTGATAGATACATTTTAATATATTTTTTTTAGTTGATTCGTTAAAGCAAAATTATTGGATGACATTAGAATAAACTATATTTATTTGACCGATTCTTAAATGCTACCATGAATTACATGTGATCTAGAAGCAGATAACATAAACTTTAGGCTGAGTAATTACCTGGGAATTATTAAAAATATTATAATGTCTACACCACACTTTTTTATTTGCCTTCACGCAAAAGTGTTTGAATCTATTATCTGTCTACTATAATTAAACTAAAGCACATGCATAGATTTCTAATATGTACTATAACCTAAGCTAACTTATTCATTTGAGTAAAATAAACCAATCTCAATATTCTTTTGCTGAACTTATCCTCAAAATTGCACAGTTAGATGTAAAAATTTTATTAAAAATTTCGTTGAATTACAGAGATAATATAAGTAATTGTGGGGAATATTTCCCTGATTTTTACTGACCACTATGCATTCTTTATTCTTTATTTTTTTTAAATTTGATAATAAAATTTTTAAGGAAAACATAATCTTTGATCTTATAATTTCATTAGGTTTTGCTTTTAGTCATTGTAGTTTTTTTAATGTTTTCATTCATTATAGGAATTAAAAAAACTGAAGAAACTACAAAGACTAAAAGCAAATCTCGATGAAACTATAAGTATTGATGATTGTGTTTTTTCAATTTTTAAATTTTAAAATTTTATAACTAATCTCCTCCCAATGGTTGGTTGGTTCATTATTTTATTATAACAAATGAGAATATGTTAATTGTATACATGAACATATTTTTTTAGTGCATTGTATAAAGTATGAGAAATGGGCCATACGTCTTATAACTAATAAAAAACAAAGTTTTTTTTGACACAAAATGGACCTTGTGGTATATTTTTTTTTGGTCTTATATAACTAATTAAGTCCCTCACAAAACAATTAAATATCACAAGTTTTTTTTTGACAATTAAGTATAATAAAATGATAATTATTTTAGCTGTCATTTTGTCATCCACCTTATGGTATTTATTTTATTTTGAGAAATTTGGGCATAATTCTCCTAACATAGGAAGGATTACTTGTTATAAACGTTATTATTTATATTCTTCAATTTTGAACAAATAAAAAATTATTGATGAGAATAATTACTTGCAGATTGCAGAGGAAATGAAACCAAACGCAGCAACAATAAAAGTATTGACATTACTAAGCAAAGTGATTCCAACATGGAAAATAATCCCAACTCAAGACATTATTGATGCTGCCTTTAAAGTCCCTCAAGTCAGAAATCAGGTACCCTTAATTAAATTTTGATTCTTTCCCAAACTCATTAATCTACTATTTTTTTGTTCCTCTAATCATGATAATTCATAATTATAGTAAGATGATAATAATGATGATGAATGTTAATTAATTGCAGGTTAGAGCAAACTCATATTGCTACAAAGGAAGACCACGCTTGAAAACTGGCTTTGAACTTCTAAGGGTCAGTTCAGAAATTGAGAAAACACTTCATGAGGTAATTTTGTCGTCAACTTGTTCATTTTAATACAGTTTTTTCTTTTAAAAAATTATTTGCACTTGTCATTTTATTATCTTGATATATCGTTCTATGTGGAATATATAAGTCATTTTACATAAAAAAATGAATAATTAATTACTTTCTTTCAATTTTATCCTTCATTAGTTTGCTTTGAGTAGAGTAAAAAATTTAAAAATGAGAGAAAAAATGTTTTAAAGATAATGTATTTAATAAGGGTAAATGAACAAATTTCTTCCTTTATCAGACAATATCAATAATTTAATTATTTTTTTTAAATTTTGGTAGAGTAGTTAAACATGACTTATATATAAAATTGGAGTAAGCACATTTTTAAACAATATTCTCACATCCAAAATCCATATTTTTTTTTAATATACAAGCATACAACTTTATCAAGTTAGATTTGAGTATTATAGGATCTAAGTAGAAAAACTTTCCCAACATGATTTTTTTTCAAATCTACATGATTCAAACCCTCAACATTATCCAAAGAAAATTAAGTTCCTTTTATTCGATCCAACCACCATTGGCACAATACCACAACTTTAACAGTCCAAAATTCGACTCAATCCAACTTAATTTATATATAGGATGATTTATTTTTAATATATACTTTTTTTAGAACGAAAAAAAAAAAAGATGACAAGTTCTTGTGGGGTGTTTGATTGTACAGGTATCACTTCCATTTTTGGTATTGCATGGAGAAGAAGACAAAGTGACAGATCCATCAGTGAGTAGTGAACTGTACGAGGTGGCATCCAGCACCGACAAGACACTGAAGCTGTACCCTTCCATGTGGCATGGTCTGTTGTACGGTGAGCCACCTGAGCATCTCAACATTGTCTTCTCAGATATTATCTCATGGCTTGACCACAGATCGTCCTTGTCTAACTCCAGACTTGAGAAGGAGCTCAAACATATCAATGAACCTCTTAAATGAATTAGCATTGTTCATCAGTTTTTTTTTTTTTCATTCATTGTAATAATAGGTCACTTTAAAGATCATATGGTATATGGTTTTTGTTGTTTTGATTTCATTTATTTGTCTTCTTGATCCACATGGTAAAGTGATCTCTATCCAATACAGTAAGATTATAGTCAAATATTATAAGTACGAATTATAGGCTGTCTGGGACTCTTAAAACATGTGGCAAGGGCTCAATTCCTAAGCTATGAATAGAAAAACATCTATTGAGAAAAGTTAATCCCTTAAATAGAATCTCAGTATCTGCAGAAATGAGTCTCTAGCGCTAACGATACCTTGGAAAAATCCAAAAAAGAAAATAGCTCATCTAATAATTTATTGACAGAACCTAAACCTTTCATCCATTGCCCAATCTTGTTGCAAAGTCCTCTCTCATGTCTTCTCTCCAAAATTTCGAGCCCCAAATATATTTGAATTGCTCATGTTACATACTATTTAAGGGGGAAAAAGAAATTTCCAAATACTACCTTATTCAAGTTTCCTTCTAAATCACTGTGACTATCACTTCAAGTACCTTTTGGTAACAAAAAAGCCATTTACCCTAAGAAAACTACTTTTAACAATAATGTCGTCCACATACTTTCACGAAACACATGGGAATAAGAACTTGTTGCTTTCCTGGGGTTGAAAATCCTAATGGGCATCATCACATTATCTTAGTATCAACCTTTCAATTTTTTAAGTACAACAGAAATGCCAACTGGGCCTCATGTAATACATTTCACCCACTACAATAAACAATGCTCAACTTCTTTCAGAAACTAACTTTAGACAGGACATGAAATCACTGGCACTACTTCAACTAAAAATGAGAATCCACATGCTTCTTCACATTGTTAAGGCATTGTTAAGGCTAAACTACAGGTAACGCCCAACCAACATAGCTCAACAATGATCTGCAAAACAACACCAAATATGAAGCATTGGTCAACTCCAAAATCTCTTAACATCAATCCATTCTGAAACAAGAAAATAAATGCCCATCATTTGATGGGTTGAATCGCTGGATCAACACTGCAACAGACAGACAAACTGCAGATTCAACCACTCCAATCGAAGCTGATTGATGGAAGGAGGCTGTGTCAAATTGGCATTGCATTTGTATTATCAGTTTATAACGACAGTAATTCGATGAAAAGACTAAACTAGCTTTTACATGTCAATCCCCCCATTTTTACCCCCAATTCAGTCCATCCCAAAGAAGGAGGCTTTCGTATAAGCAAAAAGAAAGCAGACTGAGCACAATGTGCGGACAGTGATGGATAAAAAGTCAGGAATCTTAAGTCATAGGTTGATGTGGCTCAGGTTCAAATGACACAGTATTGCCAAATTTGTGTTTAAAGACGTTTTGCAACACTGAAACCAAAAGAACAAAAAGCCTTAAAATCATGCCAGAAAACATTATTTTAATGCAAGGGATTTTCTCATGGGGTAAAGCCGAAGGTGTCAATAATGAGCATCACTCCACACTTATCAAGGTCAAGCCTAGGAAAGGCCAGTCAACGGGCCAGAACCTTCGAAGGAAATAGCACAAGTTCTTGTTTTGAATGATTGTGAACCATAGTACAAGCCTTAAAGCCTCAGGAGATAAAGGAGCCTACTACCACAGGGCATTGGGCACCTTTCCCTTAAATTGCCATGTCTGGAAAGTAATGAGTAATATTCATCTCTAGGTAGCAATTGCAGTCCAAAAAAATCAAAATGGTGATATAGAAAGATTTAAAAACTTAACAAAAGTGGGCTATATCACACCTTTTGGTTGGTCATCTTTCAAATAATTTTGTTCCGTACTTCCTCAAGCTTCTTCAGAATCTCTCCAGGGGTTCTGTCTAATTCATCAGCAATTTTCCTCTGCAAGTCCATTGGCAATGTTGGGAACTGCTCGCACAAATCTCCATCAATTACATCCTACATCATCATGTAGACCTCTCAGAACTTTGTCACAATTATTTCATTAAACAAGCTAAAGAATCTAAAGTCATATAACTTCCAATGAATATAAGAATAATGTAAATGAATTCATAAAACTTACCTTAACAGGGAAATAGGCAGATCTATAAGCCATGTGGTCTCTACCACACAAAGGAGGATGATCCTGCCTCAAATGCATCTCCAAATGAGAAAAGAAGTCAACATCATCACGGGAAGTAAAAGCATGCAATGCCCCTACACTTCCCATAACTGTTCCATATATAATGCTCTCTCCACCACCTGGTATAAGAGATGCTTTCTGCAAACATGTAACCACATCACCAACATGAAATTGTACAATTTCTTCCACCTTATTGGGAGCTCCATTCAGCTTCCCCTGCTCCCACTTAATTCTCCCACCAGTAGGATCTTCCTCTATCTCATCTGAAACATCTTGTGGTAAGCGGACAAAATAAATGTTTCCAAATTTATCTGCACCCGCCATGGTGTCAAAATCAACATGGTATGATGCAGTAACCCATCTTGGAACGCAATCATCTGCGAATATATAGAGTTGATTTTCATCCCGCCTATACTTGCAGTAATGGAAAGACTGGAGAGAAAACACAACATAATCAGCAGAAAATTGGAGAATCAAAATGACATGAAAGATAATACCAAATTAAAACAGTGAATATGTAAGACTGCCGTTGGTAACAACAGTCACAGAAGGTGTTCGAATTAGTTTGGGTGGGAGGCGGCAATATTCTCAGGTTTCTTAGGATATTGGGTGATGGAATTAAAAAAAAAAAACAGTGAATAAGTTTTATATCTATATTCTAAGTTCAAAAAGATATAACTAGATAATTTTAGTAAAGTTTTTCCCTGATTTGAGAAATCCCCTAAAAGGTTTCCAACAAAATTTCTCACACTAGAACTTGTTGGACACACGTTCCTGCCAAAGGCATAGCCAAATTATTGGAATACGTAAGTACCTAGATGTGCACTTATTATAAATGTCTATTATAGAAAATACCTCTTGGATGTCACCAACATAAATGCGATCACGATATGTCTGGATTGAGACAATTGTGTTGGGGAATAGTTTATTCTCACATTTCCTTAACAATCGTCTTTTCCCCAAATCATATAGCCTAAGCACTGGCCCTATTCCTGCAAGCAATCTTCCTTGAAATTGGCATAAAGCAAGTGGAACACCTTCAACCTGAGTTTTGTGAAGAAGTTCAAGGGATCTTCCATCTTCTACAAATCTATAAATATGAATAAATCCAGCACTTAAACTCCTTTTGGGCCAAAACTGCAGTCCCTTTGCTGTACCAACAGCTAAAAGAGTTCCATACTCCTTATCATGGAAATTCACTGTGCATACACTGAATGCAGCCTCATTATCCTGAAGCTCCAGAAGACAAGTAGTATTTCCTGTTCTAGGATCAAGAACTCTGATGCAGGAAACCCACTTCTCTGATTCAGCCTTTGGATAACCATAATGCTCATCAGAGAGTGGATCATCTTTATCTTCATCCTCACCACCATTCTCCATTTGGTCTACATTACCATTTTCATTTTCTCCTGCTCCGGCAGCCTCGAAACATTCTTTTCTTGCAGCCTCACGCTCTTCTGCTGTGAATGCTCCTTGATCACTCTCAATCATAACCAAAAGCTTTTTTTTGGGTTGTAGCACAAACTTTCTTGGTGTGTATCTCAGTGGAATAACTGTCTCATTAAATGTTTCCCCAAGCCTTTCAATAGTAAAAATTCTCAATGCCTCACCAGCCACAGCAACTACACCTTCCACACATTGGTCCGATGAAAACGATGCAGCATATTCAAGGGTTTCATACGAAAGGGGAGTTAAAAGGAAATGCCCCTGGTGGATGTAACCAAGCCAGGGTCGACTCGACAAGCAAAGCATTGCACGCTTGCCTCTTACAATGATGGGAAATAGCTTTGGGGCTCTCAATCCTAAGAATCGAGAACGAGAATCAGAAAGCTGACCAGTAACCATATCCACAACAGTTCTAAACAAGACACCATTCTGTAAACCAGCATTCAGGAAAAGGCTAGCAGGATGATCTGCACCATCCTCACCACCAGTGGATGCCTGAACTTCAAGAAACAGAAGAGATTCTGGGGCTGAAGAAACACTTTGCACACTAAGAATCTGCATACAATCATCAGGATCCAATGACAAGATACGGATGGTCTTATCATATGAACCAACAGCAAGAAAACGAGATCTTTGTCTGCCTTCAGGTACTGCTGCAATATCCAGACAAGCAACATCTCCAGACATTTCATGCTTCTCGACTTCCATCAACTGACCTGTGACATCCACCTCAAAGTAAATCAGTTCACCTCCACTCAGTGCAATGACTACTTGAAGTCTGTTTGAACCAACTTTTGCAATTGTCCTCTTTCCCGGAGTTCTCCACTCATTAATACGTCCATCCTCCCTTATATGTCTGATGCCATTGGGATGAACCTGCATGAGAGAATCATCACCTATCAAAGAAACAGCAAGAGAGGGTGTGGTGTCAAGAAATCCACTGTCACTAACTTCTTCAACTGTCTCACCAATGGAAAGGACAAGTGTTGCATTTGTGAATGACACAACAATATATGCATCAAACTCATCATTAACATTCTTTTTCACAGTCCAGACAGCACTGGGTATGCCTGGAAGCTTTGACACTGCCATCTCACTAACTGCTAATCCAGTTCTCAAAATCCTCAAGGATGAACGAGGACCACGCCCACACAGTGTAAATATTTGAGGAGTTTCTTCTTCGAAGAGATTTGTGACTTTCATATCCATTATTGGCATCAAACTCTCAACCTGATCAATCCTAACAAGGTTCTTCAGTCTTCTAGGCTGGAAAAACACTGGCTGAAAACCTTCATCAGTTTCCATTAGTGTTGCCGATGAAGCTTCGACATCAGCATCATCCCCTATTGCCTTGAACTGATATAGAGCATGATTTCCAAACTCTGAGGCTGCAAATAAAAATCCTGATTTCAACACACACATTGAAGCAGTAACTGGAATAGTGTCAAAATACTTAATTTTCAATTCTGAGACACGGTCACCATCATGTTCCAAAGTAACCTTGAAAATGTCTCCATATTCTGTCTGCAAGAGGAAGAAGAACATAGATTTCAACTTATGCATAGCTGCTGAAACTATAAGAACTCCACGCTCAGCAGGCAAGTCAGCACGTCTTGGAATCACAGCCCGGACATCCGGGTGTCCCTGATTTTTGTAAATAACAAAATTTTCTGCACAAACCAGCACACCGCTAGGCCCATCTCCACCCCCAGGAACAGTGACAAGTAGATTTGCCCCATTATCAACCTGTTCTGACCATTTCCTAGACACATGATTCAGCCCCAAATCAAGCTCATAAAATGTTAAATGTTTCTGAGCCTCACTAGCTGCCTGACCTGTTGAATCCTGATCAGCCTCTGAGTAATCCAATTCAATAGCGGCAAATATTGGGTTCTCAAACCCACAATCAACACCGCAAATAGAGTACACTAAAGTATGAGACTTATGTGCTTCTAAAGGAGACGATATTGTCAACCTAGCTGCAGTATCCCTATTTAATACATAAACAAGCTTTTGCTTCTCACAAGCCCCAATCATAACCGCCCTGCCCTTGGGATCTATGGCCAAGTATTGTCCTGGAACAATCCTACGGCAACCAGATTTGCCAAAAGTTTCCTGGTGGATTTTATCAAAAACGTTTTTCTCCTTATTGTACTCAAGAATTACAATTCTTCCAGAGTCAGAGCCCACAACGATATAGTCCTTCTGAGCCCCAGTAAGCCTAAATTGAGCTAAAGACCTTATAACACCGAAAATTTCAACAGAGAGTATCGTTTGGATCCTACCATTATCGTCAGGACGGAGAAGATCAAGAACTTTGCCTCTAGCAACAACAATTTCTTGGATTTTTCCACCAGAGAAGCTTCCATTAATGGCGCACACTATGCCAGTAGGTCGCTGGAGAGTAAGACTGTAGAGATACATGGTTCACCCGAAGGAAGCGAACAACGGGTTCGTGATAATGAAGAAACGAATAGAAGAGGGAATAGATGGCTTCAAGGTTTCTGAGAAAATTAATCAATGAATCGTTTCATCACTGGAAGTGGAAGAATGAAGGATTCGTGCTCCGAGTAGTGAGCGGGTGAGATTCAGCAGGAGGGAATGGGGTGTTGCGAGTTATCGTCGCGAGGGGGAATATAAACCCTAGGGCAATTTTGTCTTACCGCCCATCCACACTGTATAGTGTATGGTCAAAATCACCTAAATGCGAAAAAATATATATATAAAAATCGAAATCATCGTGGAACTGATCTAATTTTAATACTTATCATACTTCAAAGTATAAAATATTTTTAAATAAAATTTTATATATTAATAAATTTTATTAAATATATTTAACAATCTTATCATTTTAAAATAAAAATATAAATTTTTAAAAATACTCATTATTTAATATATTAAAAAGATATAAAATAAAAATTAATTATAGACAGAGAAAGAGTAATATTAAAATTAATGTGTTTAATAAGACTTTAATTTATATAAAGTATCTTATATTTTAAATAAATTTTTTTAAAAAAATGTCATATAATTTATGACGGAGAGAATACAGCGTATTGAAAATGTATTGCCTCTGGACTGTTTAAATTCAACCTAAATGGTCCAAATTTACTTCTTTTCAATTGGTGCTTTTTAAGTAAAAAATATTTTTTAAAAAATTGACATTTAAGATATTATTTTTATTTTAAATTTTGTATCCATTAAAATAATTTTAAAAAAATCAAAGTAAAAGGTTATAAATTTAAACCATTTAGATTTAATTTGAACTTTAAGATGAGCATTGAAACTAATTCCATTTCTTTATATTTTATATTAATTCAAAAGATTTTTGGGAAATTATAACCAAATAATGGTGTTTGATACTTCAAGGACTGAGGATGGTGGTTTGAAGGAGAAGAAAAATCTATTGAAGAGATGTAACAAGAAGGTGTTTGATACTTTTCATTATTATATTTTTTTAAACGTTGTTAAAATTTTCCATTCTGTCACCATTTTTGCTTCTTATGATATCGCTTAGTTCAATTTAGTGAACTTTTTAAAAGTTAACTGGACAAGAAGTATACTTTCTAGAAATTTTAACTTTTCGGGGTTTTCATAAATAATTTCTTCTTTCATTTTTAAAAAATAAATATAGTATTTTTAATGCTAAAGGCATAAATATCCTTTTAATTGAACTTTAAATTCATACATTTTAAGAATATTTTTGTAAATACAACAATTAATAAATACTAAGAAAATAGAACTTATCTAAGTTTTGCTCAGTAAGTTGCTTTCCCAATTGTGAGGAAAGTATATATAATGTATAACTTATCCAATGCTTCACTACTTTCATGTTTCTTATAATTCTCATTGAAGATTAAGGTAAATTTATATTTTTGAATTTAAAACTTGAATTTGTATTGCTCATTTTGGACTTTAAAACATTTTAATTTTTTTCCTTTAGAATTTGGATATATAATGTAATGATGTTGAACTTTTTTCTTTGGAGGGGGGGAACTCATTCAATAAAAGTCAGTTTATGTTTTACAGAATAAATAAATTTTGAATAATAGAGTTTCAAGGCTTTAGCCCATAAGGGCCAAGCATGCTCCTTCTTCATCTCTAGTACATGAGGTTAGTTATTTTTTTCTTTTCTTTTTTATAAAAAAAAGTTTATGTAAGTTAGATTTTGAGAATTTATTAGAGCCTGAATAGACATCTAAATTCAAAAAATACTTACAGAGATACTTATGAATTGCCAATCAATAAGATCTCACATTGACAGCGAGATTTGATCCCACAACCTTATAAATTATGAGTCAAATCCTCACTAATAAAAATCAAACATGCTCTAAAATGATAAATTTTATGTTCCAAGGCTCCAACCCTAAGGCCATTTTACATGGATGTGAAATGAGAGCCAAAGTACGATTGGTAGAGTTGTGACTTTAGTGGTAACTCAAAGAGTTGTGACTTTAGTGGCAAGGTGTAAATAATTCCCAAACTTATTAGTTATGCATCTTTCTCAGTTGAAATCATACCATAATCTTTTGATTAATAATGGAGAGAATATATAAGAAATTTTTTGTAACATCTCAGATGTTTAAAATCCAAATTACAGTTTAATTAGATGCCAATAAAGGTTGTTGAGGGCTAAAAGTCCTATCATGGTATTTCAAGGTTAAATGGAATTTTGTCTTTGCTGGACAAAAAATGATTGGCATTGCAAATTACATTGTTGACCTCATGACATTGAGTAAAAGTTGGAACGTATAAAGCTACGTGAGATGCTTGACGATATGGCGAAGTTCTTTAGCAGTGCAACGCCAAATAGCATTAAATTTGCTGTAAATCAAAGCGAGTCTCACATTTTGAACGAAAGTAGAAAAGGAAGTTGATGGGTATCTTTGCTATGGCTTCATCCCTTAAAGGTTTTAGGTTTATTCCTCACTTAAAATTAACATTAACATGATTTTCACCATTTTCTTGCAAGTTTTGTGGTTAGTTTTGAGGGTTAAAAGTACAATTTGAATTCTAAATTATAAGTTTAAAGACAATTTAAACTCTAAGTTTTTAAAAGGTATATTTTGAACTTTAAACAATTAAAATTAAGATAATTTTACTCATATCATTAAATTTCAACAAATGTCCATTAAAATGGGGCCTAATGTGCTATGTCCATCAAATTTCACTCTTCCTCACTATCCTACCCTCAATTAATGAAAATTATATATTAAGTCCTAATTTGATGGACGTTTGTCTAAATTTAATTGTGGGGATAAAATTGCCCTAACTTTAATTATTTACAATTCAAAATGCACATTTTAAAAGTTTAAAATTCAAATTACCCTTAGACCTATAATTTAAAGTTCAAATTGTATATTAATTTTAGTTTTGATGGTTATTTAGGTATTTTGAATCTTTTGCCATATTGAAGGTATGATTGTGTGTCATTTGTGATTCTACATGGGATTATATATTTTCTTGAAAACCCTAGAATGCTATGGTGTGATTTTGTAGAGGAGATGTGCAAACCAAGATGGAAATGGTGTTTTTTCTTTTAATATTTAATGATGTTTGTAGGTTTAGTTTGTCTTGGACTTGGGCATCTTAGGTTGGATTCATGATTCTTTTTTTTTTTGGCAAGAAACCATAAATGATGGGTATTAAGAGCTTATTTGGTTTCTATTCTCATTTTTTATTTTTAAAAGTTTGTAATACATTTTTTAAAATTATTTTTTAAAACAAAATAAAAAAATTCATTTGATTATGTCAATTAAAAAATAGTTCTGGAATTAAAAAATAAATTGATAGTGATAATTATAAGTAATTAATGGTGGTGACTAATAATATAAATTAGTCAAGATAACTATAATTTTTAATTAAATGTAGCATATTTTAAAAACAAAAAAAATAAAATGAAAAAAACTTGAAGTTGTTTATATTTTTATATTTTTTAAAAAAATGAAAAAAATTTTGAAAACAATTAAATGAAAAACACTTATCCAAATAAGTTTTAATTTTTTTCTATTTTGAAAAATGAAAAACAGTTTACCCTAAATGTCTTAGTTATAATGCTATGTTAGGAGGTGCAGGGTGTCTAACTTGTGCATTTGAGAGTTGAAGAAGTTGTCTGTGTAGTCTTGGAAATCCTAGTGCACTTTAGTATGGTCCTCTGATTATATACTTGTGAGCTTGATAGTATGATTTATATTTGCATGTTTGGCTAAGAGGGCTCAATTACATACTTAAGCAATAGTGGTAAGTTTAACTTGGTTATTTGATTCTCCAAACACTTTGAGTATTTATGAAAATATTAGGTAACTTTGGCTATGATGGATTTGAGAACTTTGGATATGGCTTGCATCTCTTGGGTTCTAATAGAGTGTATTGGATTTTTTGTATTTCCCAAGATATTCCTATAGCCAATAACTATAGGATTAATCCTAAAAAAAATCTGAACTTTATTTAAGAGATTGTTCTCTCTTGAGCTATGCTCTCTATACACATCTCCAAGAATCGTATCTTAAAATGATGCTTAAAGGCCCAAACTATTATCATCTGTGCCACTCTGATTTGATAAAGTATATTAGATCTTATCATTGATTGATATTAGAAGTGGTCATGGTTATGGGTCTCAAGTACGATTGTATGTGATCTTTTTTTTAGGCCAATAGAAACATAATCAAAACACAAACTCAAAAGATATAATAATTTTACTCTAAGTATAAGAGTAAGAGTTCAATTTAACGACCATAGAGATTGTGGGTTTGCTGCAATTATATTTATCACATAAGATTCGTACCCAAAGATAATTTGGTTTAGTGATGAGACCTTAATAGAACTTTATGATGAAAGTAATATTTTGATTTTTGAGACTTTTTAAGACAAAGACCCCCAACCTTTTATCAGAAGTAACGCATTCCCAATAGAGAAGGTGGAGTTTTTTGTTCCCATTAGATGAATTTCAAAAGAAATTTTTAGAGATTTTATCGATTTCACCAGAACATTATCGAGTAGAAGGTAGTTTACATGGTGTAATTGGGAAGAGTCAAGAGAACAAATTTTATGAGAACTAATATTCTCACAATGTTGAGGCATTTACTTCTCCAATTGGCCAAGCATGAGTTCGTCGTAACAATTAATGGCGGAAAGATAAGCTTAGAAATATTCTTGTGAATATGAGGAATTTCAAGATATTTGCTAAGGTTACCAATGAAAGGAATTCCTAATTCATTACTAATTTGTAATGCTGTGTTGATATTGACATTTTAAATCAATAAAGTTTAAATTTGCTATGTTGATTTTCTATCCTGAAGTATTGCAAAAGGCTGAAAGACAATGATGAATGATTTGCACTTGAGAAAGGGATAACTGTGCAAAAAGTAACATATCATTAGCAAAAAATAAATGAGAGATAGAAGGTTCATTATATGTTAGTCTAATCAGCTTCTATTCATTTTTATCAATGCTACTAAGTATGCAATGACTTAATTGTTCAATATAAAAGACAAAAAGATAAGGAGAAAGAGGATCCCCTAACGAATGCCAGGAGATAGTGTGAATTTTGTAGATGGCCCTCCATTTCATAGAATTCTCATACGTGTAATGGAGATAGCATTATGAATTAATTTCTTAAAGTGGCTATTTATCCTAGTGGTATTGGGCATCGTCAATGAAATTTCAGGATAGTCTGTCGAAAGCTTTTTCAAAATTCACCTTGAGAAAAATTAGTATTTTACGACATTGTAAGGATGCTAAGGAGGTTTGGAAAAAATTAGTCAATCCTACCAAGCATAATACCTTTTTTTTCCTTTCTTTGTAGAATTGGATAATTTGATATGCTAAAAATGAAGCAAGAAGCTTGTCTACAAGAAGATTGCTTTGGCAAAAAACTTTTTGCCCATGCCTGCTAGAACATATGGAAAGTCATATGCACAAAAGTCTACTTTGAAGATATTAACTTGGACTGATATTGCCTTCTCCTGCTCTCAACAAATTATCAATGACCTAAAGCTTTAATCCAAACTCAACTTTTTAAACAAAATTAGCACCAAACATAAAGCTAGATGGAATTCACTAAATCCTGAATGGGCTAAACTTGACGTTGATGGTTCGGTCAACCTTAATGGTGTAATTATTTATGGAGGCCTTATCACAGATGATAAGGGTAACTAGACTAAGGGCTTTTTCAAAAATTTTGATTATCAACTTAGTATAGCAGTTGAGTTTATAGGGATTTTGAAAGGATTAAACATTTGCTGAAATGCTAAGATTCCCAGACTTAATGTTTACTCAGACTCTATGGAAGCTCTTTCCCTCATTGAAAGCAACTTCTCTTATGCTCACTCTCTCTTAACAATCATCAGAAATATCAAAAACCTCATCATGGGAGATTGAAAGGTCACTTTTGATTATGCTTACAAAGAATCTAATCAATGAGCCAATAAACTTTGAGTGAACATTTTGATATTACCTTATTTGACAATCTGCCCATAGATTTTAGGAGTCTTATGGCTTCTGATATGACCTAAACTTAGTTTCCATGCACAGTTTCTACCATGGCCTTGTATTAAAAAAAGATATAACAGTTATCGATAATCAAAGTCTCTAACATGATTGAACTCCAAAAATAATATTCATTACAGAAGGATTGGAGGTCTTATAACCCAATCAACTAGGTACGACCCCTTCAATGAATCATGAGTTGTCCAGTCAACAACTTGATTAGCTTATCTAATAATTCAAATAAATTGGTAAGTCCTTCTAATATCCTTCTTAAACAAATTATTTTCAATATGAACATTGCACCTCCAATCAGAATGAGATATATTGTTATTAATACAATTAATCAAAATTTTATTATTGGATTCAAATGTCACCTCACATAATGATTCATCAACAACATAATTGAGAGCCATTAACATTGCCATACACTCCCTTCATAAACCAGGAATCAATTCTACATTGATTTGGATATTCATCTATAAAGCCAACCTTAAGAGTCTCTAACAATAAGTGCTATCTCAGCCATGCTCTCAAACCTATAAAAGAACAATATAATCACAAATAATTTTAATTGAATTACCAGCCAAAGCCTTCCAAACATGAGTCTTATTCCCTTTATTAGAACATTCCAAAAACCTTGACCCCATACTCTAGTTATTCGCACTCTAATATTCAGATAAAAGATTATTTACATCTTGCTTTCCAAATTTGCTAATAATTAAGATTATTGCCAATAAACAACACTACCTACCACACTATGTGATTGATTTAACAGTATTTTCATCAACCTTAATGGACAAACATAGACTTTAATCCAATCACATAAAAGCAACAAATGTTTAAGAAATTCTGCACATTTAGAGAGCATACAGGACACATCACTAGACTTTTCACCCCTCTTATTAAGTAATCCATAGGTTGGGATTGTATGTGATCTTGCAGGAGCACTTGAATAAATATTTTTTATTGGCGAATGCTTGAATTGGTTGAGGACATATAATGTAATCACCGCATATTATTAATGGTAACGGGTAAGTATAGTGAATCTTGTTAGTTTGTTATTGTGTTGGTTGAAGAATACAAGAGCTTACTGGAAATTTTGGTGTAGCCTTGGTTCTCCCACTTATGTAGTTTGAAGAAGATTGTTCAAAAATTCTTAGACCCAGAACATTACATGAGATCAATAATCTTAAGAAAATCATATCAATCATTAAATTGATCGAAGTACTGATTTATAATTTATTGATGGGATTATAGTTTAAATCATGATAGAATTACTCATAAATAAATTGATATATTTTAAATAATGTACGTTAGAATTAAAAATTAAATATATAAAAAAATAAAAATTATCATTTAAATCCCAAACAAAATAATATATAATAAAAAAAATCCATTAATATTCAATCCCCTTCATCCAAAATATGTACATACATGCATTTAGTTTAACTAGTTAAGGAAGTTAAATCAACTTATTTTGTATTACAAATTTGGGTCTTAGGATCAAATTATATCAAGCAATAGAATAAAAAATAATTTATAATTTATAACTTTAGAATACATACATGACCATATGCATGCAAACATACATACATGTTTCCTCTGGCAGCCTAGATATTCCTCTTATTTTAATTATAATTCACTTTTAAATTGTTTTATTAAAATAAAAAAAACATCAAAACCTATTAACTATATTTAAAAATATAATAAATTTTCAACTTTAATTTTATTAAATATACATACTTTAATGACATATTTTCTTTCTTCAACATTCAATTAATGGAGGATAAAAAAAATTTATAATAAAAATTTATTGATGTGATGGATAAACAAAAAAAAAAATATCTTCACCCTACCCTATAAATAAGAATAAAAAAGGAGTAGTCTCCTCTCATGGCTGGACCGAGCATGCAATCAACCAATTGAGTTTACAAATCTAGTTTTGATTTCATTCTTATATTATTAACTCTATTTTAAGCACAAATTGTTAGAACCTCACTAAATTGATATTATGGATTTAAGTATGACCCCTCCTTAAAAATAAAAATGAGATATCTAATTTTTACACAATTGAAAAAAGATCAATGTATTTTACCGAATATTTTTTAAATAAATGCATAACTTAAATATAAATAGTAACTTTTTTTATAAAATGACAATTAAGAATAAAATATACTTAAAAAATATACATAGTATCTATATATTTTAAAAATCATTTTAATGAATACTTATAAAGAAAATCATTAAACCTATACCGATAATTTATTTATAAAAGTCTTATTTGTTTATATCTATAATAATGGAAATAGATAATAAATGATTTTTCTCAAAAAATAAGTATGATTTTGATTGTGGATAACAGTATATTGATTTAATTTAATTAATGAATATTTTATTAAATTAAATTATTTTATCCTTCACCCATATATAACGTACAGAAAAAGTCGCGACCTGTGACCTAGGGTTTACTTCCACGGAGAGGAAGAAGAAAGAAGTGCCGCTAAACCTCGGAAGAACACCGCAATGGGTATCACTTGCCTTCTAAGTCATTTTCCCCATCTGTTTCTTATTTCTGTGACTGATTTTTAATTTTTGTTGTGATCTTTAATTGCATTGTCACCATCAGCGAGAATCAAGGTTCATGAATTGAGGCAGAAGACGAAGGCTGATCTCCTCAACCAGCTCAAGGATCTCAAGGCTGAGCTCGCTTTGCTCCGAGTTGCTAAGGTCACTGGCGGCGCGCCCAACAAACTATCCAAGATGTAATCATCTCTTGCTCTCGATCGATTTTTTTTTATTATATATTCAATTTGATCCCCGACAAATATACTTCCTCCATTAAAAAAAAAAAGGTAATCATTCGGCTAGTTTCGTTGAGTAAATAAAAATTTTGGTCTAATGAAGGGATAATTTGCTGCAAGTTACAAACTTTGAGAGAATAATGTTGTGTATGTACTTTTTTCTGTGTTTTATTTTGCTCTGTTTGATTGTCTATAGGGTGTTTATGTTTATGTTTGTTTTATCATGGGGTGCAGTAAGGTGGTGAGATTGTCCATAGCACAGGTTTTGACCGTGATATCTCAGAAGCAGAAGTCTGCATTGAGGGAAGCATATAAGAATAAGAAGTATCTGCCTCTTGATCTGCGTCCTAAGAAGACTAGGGCTATTCGTAGAAGGCTCACCAAGCACCAGGTAATCCTCTATATTATTTCGTAATTTATTGCTTTGCTTTTTTATTTTTGGTGGTCATTCTTTCTTTTTGGTCCCACTGCTTTCTCTGTCACTTCAGTTCTGATTCCTTTCTGATTGAAATATGTTTTCAGTGTTATTGTATGAGTTAATTTAAGTATCATAATATCTAATGTGACAGTGGTCTTAAGAAAATCAAGTGAACTTTTACGTGCTTCCGGTTGTTTAAAGATGGTGACTGCATTGAGTTGTTTCTGTTCATATTCATGTATCCACATGGGACTTTATACTTTCAACTTTGTCTTTTTTTAAAGTATCACAATATTTATTTTGCTCAATGGTCCACGATATTATGGAACCTGTGTTTATATGTTTATCTGGTTTTGAGGTGTAGATGCATATAGACTTGATTGTTTTTGTTTCTCTTCATGTGTTTGCTTGAAGGTTTGGCACTTTGTAACATTATCCTACATAAGTCGCCCATTTTCTTGTATTCTTGGTACCTTTGTTTTGAAAATAGCATGAAGTGGATTGAGCGTTATGGAAAAATACAACATAGCATGGTTTCCTAATAACACATTTTATATGAATATATATTTTTATTTTCGGATGAACCATTGCATAACATGCAAATATGTTGGTTGTATTTATTATAAAAAACAAAGCGTTGGTCTTTTGAAAACCCAGGGTTGGTTGCTGCTGGTGCTTTTCGATCTTATTGAACAAAAACTTGCCAAGATCATGTCATTGTGCAAATGAAACCAACTATTTTGAAGTTATGCAGCCAGTTCTGTCTGGTTTGCTTGCCAAACTGGGTATTAGAAGATAAAAGGACATCATACTTCCTAGCTTGAACCCCTTGGGCTGGTCTAGTTTTAAAAACAGCTATACTTATGAAATATGATGTTTGGATTTCATGTTTTGATTGACTTGAATCAGGGAAACCTGACATATCTTGATTCTGATTTGGATGGGCACTAGGTATTTTTGGCAACTAGGATAGATGTGTGATCGTTCTACCTTTTTGTTATTTGAGTATTGTGATTGATCGATTTCATTGGAGTCAAATGACTTTATAATCTTTGAGCTAATCTTTAGACTTCCTTTGATGATGAGCTGTGCTGAATGTTATGTTGCCTTATGCTTCTCTATTACTGCTTATGCAGGCATCATTGAAGACTGAACGGCAGAAGAAGAAGGATACATACTTTCCTGTGAGGAAGTATGCCATTAAGGTGTAGGGTATTTGGGCAATCTTCTGTAAGCTTTTGTTATTAATTACAAGTTTTGGTACGCTTCAACAAGTAGTTTTCTGTTGGTGGTATTGAATTCATGTTTTGTTACTTGAGTTTTGAGACTTGGTGTTCCCTTTACATGCTGCTAGGTTTGATACAGTGTCATTCTATGAATAGAATTCAGTTAAATTTTTATGCATATCTTAATGTTATTCTATTTCATTCAGCATAACCTTTGATAAAGAAGCAAGGGAATGATACGAGTTGGTATTCGGTTAATAGTGAAGGTTCCTTTGTATTCTTTAGAGATTTTTTTTTGGGAGAGGTAAAGGGGAATGGAGGGATTTGATTGATCTTCCTTTCAATCCTCTAATATTTTAATTTCTCTTAAATTGTAGGATTTAGGGATCATAATTATGAATTTGTGATAAATGTTATATTCTTCTACATTAAAATCACTTGGTCTTTTACCTAAAAATCAGGAAAAAAAAAATGTTAGTCTAATGCCATCTATTTTGATGCCAAGTTGCCAACTGTATTCTTTGTTTTGGGCCAATAAACGATGATAACACTACTTAGAAGAAACTTAGCTAGACCAATTGTGGTTGAATTTAATTTTTTACCAATCTTGAACATCTTTATGCACAAATTATTTGTTGACTTCTGACTTGTGAATTTCGTTTAGAACTAAATTTAATTCTTAGATGATCCCCCCCTCCCCGATTTCGTACTCAAAAATCAAAGTATCAGTTTAGCTTTCCAAACCAATTAATATACTTTATATTATAGTTGTTGGAATTAAACGATATTCGAAAGTTAATACCCAATCCCACACACACACAGAGGTCACGTTTAACTAATTTATATTAAAATTGCCTCATCTATCCAATATTACCCCTAATTAATTACAATAAATTATGACTCTTATCTTATCTCTTCGGCTCCTCTCTCCACCGTAATATATTTATTAATATAGAGGACTATTAGAAAAATATTGTTTCAAAGATTTTGCAAAGTGACTTGTATGAATGACTTTGAAAAGCTTTTAGAGGATGACCTATAAATAGAATTGAAAGGAGTTCTTTCCCTGATCTATCTGTCCTATGGTTGCAGTTTTGGTGACACAGTTTTGTTGCCCTTTGTGGTTTTTCCTGATTAGATTCTGGACCTTGCTAAGTCCTCCAGTTGATGTAGTGGGGCAAGTCCAAGATTTCAAAGGGTTCCAATAAACAAAAGAATAATCCATATGTTGACCCCCTCTAGAGATATTCATAGAATAGTTTCCAGTGCTCTGCTTAGTTAGATTAATTAATTAACGGCTTAGCGATTTCATTGCCTGAGCTTTCCTCAAGCAGCTGACTTTACTTCGTAACCTTAACGTACTGTTCAATTCAGGGAGGGAGGGAGGGTACAATGAAAATACAACACTACGAGTTCTCTATTTGCACAGAATCTATATAATTAACCATATTGTTAATATTCGCCATAAATATAACTATTGGCTTTTTAATAACAATAACTATTGGTTTTGTAACCTGTAAATGTATTTCATTTTATTTTTAGTGAACCATATTCATCCATTATGTGTTTAAAGATTCTAATTTGATGTTGTGCTTGTTTATTTTGTTTTTGTTTTTGTTTTTGCCTTCTACTTATTCTACTTATTTATTTTTATATAACTCATAATAATTTTAAGAAATCAGCATAAGAAATAACAGAGTCTATGTATATATATTAACCACCGTTAAGTTCTTATGATCATTTAAAAATATAACGACTAACATTGAAGTCATGAAATTTAAAAGACCTGGAACAGTGAAAAAAACATAGAAACTAAAATTAAAACATGTTAAAAGTATAAAGTTCAATTGTATTTTTCCTAAAATTTTATCTAAACACCCTCATTTTCTCAAAAACCATGTTTCAGCCCCTAAACGAAACGTGATCTTTAAAAAAGTATCCAAACACTTTCATTTATTAAAAACTACGTTTGAACCTCTAAACCACCTTAATTGAGAAGCAATTTTGACTTGCATTTGCATTCCATTAAATCAATTTTCTATAATGATGCTCACAAGTCAAGTTAATCTAAATTTTGTTTTGCCCAACACTAATCTAAATGCACCCTTGATGTAATCGAATGAGGTCCTTCTAATGACAAACTCGTTACTGATGATTTGTGGTTCTCTTGCCCCCTGGATTGTAGGGTTGACCGGATCAGACTTCTAGTTTCACTAATTCTTGGTGTTCAGAGGCTAGTGAAATTTTATAACATTGTGATGAATTTGATAGTAACATATTACTTTTCAAATTTTCATATGAGAAAGAATTAAACATTTCTGTACACAGCATTGCAAACTTGAGTTATGGAGGAGGACATTGGAGTCGAAAGGTTTTCGTTTGAGTAGAAGTAAGACGGAATATTTATATTGTAAATTTGGTAAAGGACTATTCGAAAATAATGTGGAAGTGAAATTGGGAGATCAAATTATACCTCAAGTGGAAAAGTTTAGATATTTGGGAGCCATTATTCAAAATGATGGCGAAATCAGTGGAGATATTTCACATAGAATTCAAGCTGGGTGGTTTAATTGGAGAAAAGCTAAAGGAGTTATTTGTGACCGTAAGGTGCCTAATAAACTTAAAGGAAAGTTTTATCGTACTGCTATCAGACCGGCAATGTTATATAGTAGTGAATGCTAGGCTCTAACGGGACAGCAAGAGCATAAAGTTGGAGTAGCAGAGATGAGAATGTTACGATGAATGTGCGGACATACATGTAAAGATGAAATTCAAAATGAGCACATACGTGAAAAAGTGAGGGTTGCACCTATTGAGGAAAAAATGGTAGAAAATCGGTTGAGATGGTTTGAGCATGTACAAAGAAGACCAAGGGAGGCACCGGTGAGAAGAGTGGAACATATAACTTTGAGTCCGATTAAGAGAGGTAGAGGAAGGCCTAAGAGAACACTCTTGGAAGTTGTTGAACGTGATCTCTTAATTAATAATATTTCTAAAAGCTTAATAAATGATAGAGCACAATGGCGTCTTGCAATCCATGTAGCCGACCCCACCTAGTGAGATAAAGGCTTGTTGTTGTTGTTGTACACAGCATATCCCTAGTAAATGCGCCAAACTTTTAAAATCATTAGATGAGATTTTAGTTATATATTTCTGACTTAAATAGCTATCTAAAATATGAGGATTTTAGTTATATGTTTCTGACTGAAATAGCTATTTACAGTAAAAAGAAAGAATCATTCTCGATGCAGGCACAACCAAAATAAAAGTTACAAACCGACATATTTTGCCAAGTTTACAGAATACTGTACTGATGCTAATACTAAACTATTACAAGAATGAAGGGAGAATTGAATATAAGTCTCAAAATACATTTAAATATTACAAGGTCGGTTGATAACTTAACAAAAAAAAAAGAAGACAATTATTAGCAATGAAAAATGACAACCAGTTGTCAATAGATTTTATGATATTTAAATGTATTGTGTGATTCTCAAAGTCATTCCCCAAAAATGAAACGCCGTAATTACAAATAAATACAATCAATAAATAATATAAGGCGAGCCACATTATTCAGAAATTATAAGCAGGGCAGCTCATCTCAAAGTTTCGTATAATTACACAAAACCCAGTTTAGTTTTGCTTTATTGTATGTCAATGGAGACTAAAAAACCAGAAGGTCAAATCCTGCAAGGCATTCTAATTCAAACAAGACGAGACGTCTAACGGCCGAGAAATGGATTGCCAACCTGCACATAGTTGCAGAACATCTTTGAAAGAATGTAAGGGTGCCTCCATAGTCCAAGCTGGATAATATTCAGAAGGGTGGAATACGCATCCTTCTGTGTGTTGTGATTGTAAGCATGGTTGTGCACCATTCAGAAATACGTCTCCCTCAGATATTATGATGCCAGATTTCTGCTCCTCCTTGTCCGCAGCCTAGGGAATTAATATTACAAGTTCACTACAATTAGAAGTTGTAGTAAATGTCTCTAGAGGATTTAGCAAAGGAGATAGCTCAGGAACACTACGAATTTACCAAGTTCTCCATTTAAAATAAGAAACAGGCGGCCTTTTTTCCCCCAACAACTCAGCACCACATGATTGCTGTATGGTTTAAAAAACTTTCTTTCACAAGTTACGTTTCGTAGTGAATGACCTGAATACCTGATAAAAATTTTAAACTTGCTCCTAAGCTTTGTGGTTAAGTAAATTTCTGGACTAGTACAACATACTTGATCAGGCATGCATAGTGATAATTGGCTTATATAATGGAATTTTGCTTATACGTGCAGAGCGACTATTCAACTAATCAAACCTAAAATATAGAGGGCACTATCTGATTGTAAACAATGGGATGCAATGAAAGTGCATGATGGAATAGTTACTAAGCAGACTGGTAATGGGTAAACTGGCTAGGTATGTGTTAACAGCTAAGTCTCAACACTTCAACTCATCAAACATAAATGCAAGTTTTGTAATGGCCTTGATACTGGATTGAGTTTTCAGGAATAGGTTTGTGTATCAATTGTGTATCCAAGTTCCAGGGCTAACTCAATAGTTTTGAACTACAGTAACATTTGTTGTCTTCAGGAAGGACCTAGGTTATTTCAAATAGGGGCAGCCGTCAGCCTCCCTAAAATTTTTCCTTCATTTGTCATACATATGGATTATGCATGTAGGTTAGATTGTTTTTTAAAAGAAATTCAAACTTTGCCCTGTCGTCTCCTGTCCCACAAAATAAAGTCTAAAAAAGTTGGGAAAACTTCCCCCAATCAAGTCCAACAATACTTGAATCTAACCTGATCTGATCAGATAGCCATATAAAAAAAATTATTTTTACCTTTCACTTCCCCTGCCAATTTTTTCTAGTTCCGTCCTTGGTTGTCTTAATTGCAGGGGCGTGTGATGTTACACATTAATGCATAGTCTAGAACGACATTACAAAACAGACTAGACTGAGAACAGTATTGGATTGAGAAAAATATTACGTACTTTAAATCCTGAGATGACACAATGGTTGAAATGATAGATGTTTTGACACATTTTCAGGTTAAAGCTGAGTTCAGAGGGAAAAGAAGTGCAAAAATATTCATCTTGAGCATTCGATGGACCACATAGGGCCCCGATTAATGAGGTTTAAAAATAAAATTAGAAGTGAAGAGACTAACATTCTACCTTCTCTGTATAGAATTCAAAAGTCTTTTTCTTAGTTCCCGCTTCATAAATGTTGCACTCAGAGTATATCTGCAAAATGCATTGAAAAAATTATTTGTTTGAATAATACTAATAGCCTGGATGAAAGAATAATCCAAAAAAAAAAAAAAAGATGCTATAAGAAAAGTACTTACCTGGGACTCAACACTAGCACAAACGGCGTATATACCCCAGTTTCTGGTGTAATTGTTGTACAGATGAACTTTTCCAAATCTAACACGAGGTTGCCTTTGTCGTGTCCCATCGAAGAAGCAGTGATGAATTGTCACACGGATGCATCTATCGCCGATGTGGGATGGGTCAGCTCCAATTAGCATGGTTTTATCATGCTGTGCAAAGTAACATCTGATGACAAAAGTGAAAAAACTCAGTGATATACAGCATATATGACCAAGTCATCATGCAGCTCATTTCAAACATTCAGATTTGAACCCACCTAGATACAGTAATATCTGTGCTTTGTCTTGTAATGTCTATGAGTCCATCATCATAATCACGAAGACTGCAGCGATCTATCCATATGTGCCTAGAATTTGGTTTTATTTGAATGCCATCAACATCATGACCCCTGCCACCTTCAAACTGAAGGTTGCATACAATTATGTGCTCACATTCTTTCAGCCTCAAGCCCTTTCCTGTGAGCTTTATGCTCTGGCCTCGGCCATCTATTGTCTTATAAGATGATACACTCAGGTATGATGATAGATGAATAGTACCCGAAACTTCAAAAACAATCCAGAGCGGCTCCTTTCTACGACATCCATCTCGAAGGGATCCGGGTCCATCATCTGGAAACAGAATATGGGTTTCAATTTTTTTTTACATTCTTTGCATGGTTTGTGGCCTCTAATGAAACTATTTGATAAGTCAGCAGCTACTCCTTTAATTAATGAAAACCTCAACGTCTCAGTGCGCTCCACAGTATAATTGTCTATCTGCATACATACATATGACCCAACAAAACTTTTCCGTTCTTATGATAGTGAGATTCCAAGTCCCCAGATATTTCACAGATCCAAACAAAATTAGTCCATAATACGGTGGCAGTCAGCAAATACAAATTCCTCGTACCAGCCTCATCGCCGAAGAACATCAGAGCAACCAATACGTTGATTGACATGATACGGCATTTTTCCACATATCCTACTATATCTATAACCTCAGATATATCCTAACCGAGCATCACATTTCAATCCACAGATTAATTTGGGTTAAAAAAAATGACAGAAAGAGGGAAATTTAAATCAATTCCGTCTGAAATGCATTAAATAGACCGGGAACATGAAAGCATGAATAAAATCTGAATGGGGACAAAAACACCATTTACAAGCATCGAAAAATCCCGAAATTACAATAAAACAGCTGTAATTTTCTGGAATAGATTAGATGATGAAGAAGGAGACATACCAGCGAGGGTGGTAACAAAATAGAGAGGGCCGTGGAGGCCACCGATGGAGTCGCGGCCGAAACCCTCGGCACGACCCGCCATTGCTCTCAAGCTGAAATCAACATCGCTGTATGGTAGTAGTGACGCCATATTTGCCTCTGTTTTAGAGACCTCAGAGTCAGAGATACGAGAAACCACAATGTCAGCTTCTGATCGTTTATACGGCGACCTTACCAAAAGTAGCGCCCGTTGGAGACGACTAATTATTAAATTTTTTAAGTAATTAAATAATGGAAGAATAACAAATAAACACTTTATAAAAATATTAATATTATACTGTACATTTTTAAATTTCAATATTTTTTTATCATATTTTAATATTAAATTTTTTAATTTAGTATTAATATTTTTATAATGTTTTTACTTATCATTCTCCCATTAATGATTTGATTGTCACTTTTTTAAAAAAAAAATAATTGAAAAATATCTCAATGTATGCAAACGACAATTGAATGTGGTAAAATATAATAATTATGTTTTAGTCCTTGAGGACTTGCCTGGCGTTTTTTTTTTTTGGGGGTGAAATGACATATTTGTCGGTGTAAAAAGATCTTTTATCTTAATAAATTAGTGAGTACTTTGTTTTTGGAAAATGATTACATTTCATGAAAAAATGATTAAAATAGAATAACAAATTATAAGTTGTTGTGTGCAAATTTCATTAATATAGTCTAATAATTAAAAATTAGTTATTACTTTTTTTAAATAACTAGTTTTTTTAGGGAATGACCAGAACGCAATGGCAAATTGCAAGTTACTTCATTGAAAAAAAATTGCACAAAAAAACTTATAAATTGTTATTCCATTTTAGTTATTTTTTCAAGAATACTAGTCATTTGCTAAAAGAAAGTAGTAATTAATCTTTAGTTGTAGAACTTTACTAATAAAAAAATTGCATAAAACAACTTGTAATTTGTTATCCGTTCTAATTATTTACCTAAAAAAACTAGTCATTTTTTGAAAAAGAATAGTGAATGATTTTTAGTTGTTGGACTTCACTAATAAAAAAGTTTGCGAGAGAAACTTATAATTTGTTGTTTTGTTTTAATTATTATCTTAAGAAAAGTAGTTATTTCCTAAAGCAAAGTAGCCATTAATTTACTAAAATAAAGAATATTCTTTACAAGGGCAAATATGTCATTTTACAAAAAATGTTGGGCATGCCTCTAGGTATTAGAAAATAATTATTACATTTTGTGATATTTAATTATCATTTGCATATTTTGAAGCTTTTTTATGTCATTTTCTCTCTTTTTTAAATCAGCAAGATTAATAAAAAATCATGTTTAGGTCTTAAAAAAGGAACTTATTTATAAATAAATCTCATTAATTTGAAAAACTACAGCCATGTCCCTGTGAAACAGGTTACAATGTGCCTTAGTGTTAAAAAGTCCAAATCACCCTTGTTTATGAGAGAATAAGGATCTAATGGGTCATAAGTGATTAAAATAATTTCAATTTTTTTGAATAAGAACTAGATATTAGTATTCACTGATGAGAGAGAGAGAGAGAGAGAGAGAACAAATTACAAAGAAACTAGAAAAAGTCTTAACTTTCATCATACACACCATCTCCTAAGAAAAGAAACAATTATAGTGCGTGCATAAGTTGATAAACATCAGGTGAAAAAAAAAAAAAAAGAAGCTAAACTATTTGCATAACAATTAGATTCTCTAATCTATACATGAAATTAATTGAAACATTTCAATCCCTACTCAAAAGATAGTTGCATCAGATAATACCTCTATACAGAAGAATGAAGTTACACGAATTTTATTTCCGATTCATAGCAAATACACCAACAGGAAGAGAAGAGTGAATAGAGGGGAATTTGCATTCTAGAGGTTTTTTAGAAAGTGTTCTCATCTGGTTTCATGCATACCATATGTGACTCCCACTCAAGAGACGAAGCCGCTACCTCCACAATTCAAGAAGAAGGGAAATATTATATTTAAGTGCCATTCTTAATTACACTTAAGAATCCAGATTTCCTTTATATTTTGATAAACCCCCATTTTCTTATCAGACTTGTATACACACACACACACACCTGATCCACCAAGGATGAATAACTCAATATTACAAGTATTTGCAAATTTTTTTTTTGTAATGTTCATGCAGACCATTATTATGATTTTGGTATTTATGTCTCAAGATTAATTCTCATGTCTTGGTTTCAAGATATATAATTAATTATACTTGATAAACTGAAATAACAAGCTGAAATCTACGATTTATGGGCAATGTGGCTATAGGTTGTTGATGTTTATTGGAACGAACACATTGTAGAAGGTGGGGTGTTTGGGATAAACATGGGACAGGGTTGATGGAGGGTTTCATGTTATGCATGATAAAGAAATGTGGCTAAATATATATAGCTGGAAAGTTCATGTATATTTGGAATTATCAATTATAAATTCTTGAATCTTCAGTTGTAAATATGACGATCTAATATGTGAAAATGAGATTTTTCACTTGGGGTGTGTGTTAAATTTGGAGGTTCCTTGTTGAATATATGAAGAGAAAATTGTAAATAGTTGACGTATAGTAGCTGTAAATAAATGATGAACGAGATAGTAATTATAAATATTTGAAGAGATGATGTTAATTGCGATGAGAAAAATATGATAGAACTTTTACTTGTTTTTGACAATTGATCCATGTATGATTGCTAGTTCCTCATTAAAGCTAGAGCTGGCAAATGGACGGGGGCCCATGAGCCCAATTTTTCAAAAAATGTTCATTTTCTAAAACCTGCCTTTATTTAGAGAGTTTAGGGCTAAACCATTTAACTTGTTTTTATATTTTATTAATTTTTAAATTTTTAAAAATAATTTTTTATATTATAATATATCATAGGATAAATTAGCTCATTGGCAAGAAAAAAAAAAACGTCTTGTACCCAAGAAATATGGACTAATTTTTTGAAAATTTGCAAGTTTATATTGATATATAAAAAGTTTATTATTAATATACAAGGTTTATCATTGACAATATAAAAATTTACAAGGGGTTTATCATTGATATATAATAATATATTATTAAAAAATATAATAAACTAGCCATAATATAAAATATAATAAATGTTGGGCTGTTAATTTGTTTTGATCCTATAATGAGTTATATCCGCAAAAGCCTCCTTTTCATATCCTTTTTCTAAATTGTAATGTCATAAAATTTAAAATAAATAATATAAATTATAATTTTAAAGTAAAAACATATATTCTAAAATTTAAATTTAATTTAAAAATTAAAAATATTTTATTTTTTAGGAATAAGACAAAAATGGGTTTAAACGGAATGCCTAAATCCATGCTTATTTTTTTAGGACCTAGATAAGCCAAGCTTAGAAATTCAATTATACTAAATTCTTTCAATTTTTTAAGTCCAAATTCTCATAAAAACGTGCTCAAATGGGTATCTCATCAAGTCTAACTTGTGTTCAGAACTCTAATTAAAACAATTATATTATTATTTTTAGATTGGAGGACAAATGGTCGATGAATAATCAAAACGAGAGAAATCTATAATCAAAACGAGAGAAATCTAAAGTCCTATGAAGGTGAGAGGTAAAACAAAATTAATAAAGGCACAATAACATTAACATTTGAAAGGAATTATAAGATCATATGTATTGGTTGGGTTAACATGATATAGTATTGTTGAGATTGAATTGAAGTACCACATGTAAATCTATATGACAATGGATATTAATTAATACCAATGTTGCAAAACTTTAATATTAGACCTAACTAAGCTTTATTACTATTAAAAAAAAGCAACATGCTACCGGGCTTTGGCCATACATTTACCAAAAAAATAAAAGGCAACATGCTCAATACAACCCAACTCTTGACCAAAGGGTGATGAACAACCCCAAACTATGGGAATTATAATGAGAGATTACATTGAACTTCTCTACCTAAATATGATGCTTAACTTTCAATTATATATACGTATATACAGGTTTAAGCTAACAACCAATTATGATTAATAATACATTAATATTCCAACATTATGTCTCTACCTGTTGGCTTATGACCTTTGTTTATCTTTTCGTTTTTGTTTGTATTTCTCGGACATATCTTTTCATCAAAGAAATTCCATATTGCACATGGTTAAAAAAAATTATGTTAGCATTTATAAGCTTACGTGTCCTAGTTAGCATTTATAAGATATATTCTCTTCGTTTAAAAATATAAAGTATTTTTAATTTAATTTCACCTCAATAGAATAGTTATTTATTTTTAAATTAACTTTATTTTTTTATATTTACCCTTATCAAACACCCTACAATAAATATAAAGTTATTATCAATAGAGGTACTTTTGAACATCTTGAAAGACTAAAAATATCTTATATTTTTTAACATCAAACTTCTCAAAAAAATATTTTATATTTTTGAATAAAGGGAGTACATAATATTGCTAGCTCCTTTGGTTATGTTATTTTTAATTTATCTTGAGGATGATTATCTTTTTTGTCCTCATTTTCCTTTGAATTTTGTGGATACTTTAATTCCGTAATGTTTATTTTTCTTTAATGGTATATTTAGATTAATTAGGATTTGGATTTGGTTCAAATCTAAAGATATTTCAAATTATAATTTATTTATAATTTAAAATTCTTTTTACACTCTAATTATTTAAAATTCTAATAACTTCAATCATCTTGTTCTCTTTCCATTTTTATTATTGATGCCTTTATGAGTCTTGTACCTTTTCTCATTACTTGTCAATTAAAAAATAAAAATAAATTCATTATTTTTAATTTTTTATTTTTATTTTGAATCTTAGTTTATCTCTTTTTTTTCTTGAAAATTTTTAAACTACTCAAATAAAGTATTTTAAATATATAAATTTTAAATGTGAGATTTGAAATGTAAAATTTTAAATCTAAAAACTAAATCTGAATCTGTCAATTCAAACGCTGCATAATAGAATTGATTTTTTTTTTTTGGTTAAAAAAATAGAGGGTTGATTGGAGAGGATTACAACAGTGATTTTTTTTTTTGGTGGCCAATTAAATGGAGATGGGCCCCATATGTAACAAGGATCAGAGCTCGACGCGAAAAAAGATCGCGCGTTATAAGATCATTAATAGTATAAATAACCTCAAATTTTGTGCAAACCAAATATTTAAGTTAGGCTAAATTATATATT